CCAGCAATGCCACTCTTGGGAATATACCCAAGAGATGCCCGATCATATGACAGGGGCATTTGTTCAACTATGTTCATAGCAGCATTATTTGTAATAGCCAGAACCTGGAAACAACCTAGATGTCCTTCAATGGAAGAATGGATGAAGAAAGTGTGGAATATATACACATTAGAATACTACTCAGCGGTCATTTAGCTTTTAAATGAGAGTTGTTTTGTATCCTTTTACTCTGGAGAGAGCAGAAAGCTACATTGGATATTTTCTGCATACACTCTCAACACTTGCATGCAGACCCAGTGAAGGCTTTGACACACTCATGGGACTGAGGCATTGGGGTCCTTGACATGGCTGTGCTAATGTCAGTAACACACATTCCCTCACCCCTACATCATCCCGTATCAGTCATGTCACTGGTACACCAGGGAGTCTATCTCTCCCTGTAGGTCAGTGTCTAATACGACTAAGATAGTCATCAGTTCAAGACTGATTTCTCTGTGTCTGGTCACCAAAGATTATGGTGTCTTCAGCAGTAGGATTCTATGTTCAGTTGGTTGACAACCAAGAACAGTTGCAGTAGCCTGTGTTGTTTCAATACCCCTGGGGCTTCTTGACCAATAACATGGAGGGAGATAACTATTGCATTTTGAAACTGTTCTCTGGTTGGACAAGACTTGTAAGACAGTAGTTTGGTCTCTGGATAGCATATAGCACAGGCTCTTAATTGTGAGAAGAGGCTAGAAGGATAAGTTCAGTGCTTGCCTGAACTGACTGCCCAGGAACTGTTTTCTAGTGTGGTAGCACAAGGTAAGGCCTGGTCAGCTCTCAGGAATCTGGGTTAAAAGAATCCAAAAGCAGTAAAGTGTTTCAGTCTTGTTGAATGAGAAGAAGACAGGCAACAGAGATAGGGGCGTGCACAGCACAGGTCTGACTAATAACCCAGGACTGTGTGAATCCAGACTGTATACATAAAGACTTGTCAGGTGCAGCTGATGCAGTGCATAGAGACTTAGGCCATTTGATCCTTGTATGTTAGAAAGAAGGAATGGGAGTCAGATACCATGTTCTAGCTTAAGAGACTAAGGGCAAGGGTAAAACCTATTAAGCTCAAAGAAAGGAACAAAAACTAGAAATGGAGAGATGGCTCAGTGAAGAGAGCTTGCTGCTCTTTCAGAGAACATGTGTTCAGTTCCCAGCATCTACCTCAGGCAGCTCACAAGTGCCTGATTACCTGTAAATCAAGCCACAAGGGATCTGGTAACTTATTCTGGCTTCTGTAGGCACTATATACTTGTATACTAATCCTATACAGGCACATGCACATACATACTCACACATATAATTAAAAAGTAAATCACTGGGTGTGGTGATGCATACCTTTTATTCCCAGCCCTGGGAGACAGAGGCACATAGATCTCTGTGACTTTGTGTCTTCACCTCTCTCTGCTTTATTGCTCCAAGGCAGGCTCTCTCAGCTCTCAGAACTTGTCTTATCTCTTTCCCAGTGTTGGGGTTACAGGTATGCATGGCAGTGCCTGGCTTTTTATGTGGGTGCTTAGGATTTGATCTGAGGTCCTCATGTTTGCAGAGAAAGCCCTCTTATGGCTGAACCTTCCTGAGCCCCTGTGTCCATGTTTTGCCTTTGCAACACACATTGTGATCTGCAGACCTAATGCTTAAGAACAGCATGATTGTGTTTAAAAACAAACAAATAATCTCAATGTTCGAAGTTTACAGTTGGGGGGGGGGATACATTCATAGCTGTCTCTGGCCACATGTCTGGAGAGTATTTTTTAGTAACTAAGAGAAAGGCTGAAGTATCCCATCTTATTACCTTTATACAGCGTTGTCCTGGAGCTCTTAATCTGTGAAGGATGGAGGAGAGAAGTGGGGGCGGTGCACGTGACATGCATGCATGGCAATAAAGGAAGGAAAGTCTGCGGATGTTGGGCCATGAGACAGTAAATCTAAAGAGTTTGCAGAACTATGGGACTAAGAGAATCACTCAGAGTAGAAAATCAACCTTTTCTCACGAGTAGCAGTGAATACTCAGAAATGGAATTAAACATACCACTTACAGTAACACTAAAAAAGTTCTTTAGTAATAAATCCAAGCAGAACATCCAGCAAGTCCTGTATGCAGGAGTAGTTGACCACAGTAGTATTGCCTTCCCTCTAGGCATTTGTTTAACACAACACCTATGACAACTTTTCACATGTTTTGTGTATCCGTTCTCCCAGTTCTTACATTTTCAACTTTCTGGAGGGTTCCTTGTTGGACCTTCCTCCTTTGGTCTCCACATCACTTAATTTTCTGTGTTTTTTGTCTTCATTTCTCATTTCCTTGTGTCTATCATCTCTTCTGACATCTCCCTTTAACTGTCCTCTTCAAGTGTTCTGCCTGTTGCATCCTAAAGGGGCCTGGAGAATTGTTTACCTAGACGTCAATTTTAGTGCGACTTTATTTCTCATGTAGTGCAGGGTGAATATTGTCTGTGATTGAAAGCCTTAAGGTTTTCTACTATTTAAGAGGTAGTGTCTATTTTGTTAGTGTGCCTTTTGCAGTGGCTCTGACCCAATCCGCAGCTGACAGTTCTATTTCTCTAGAACAGCAGGAGAGCTGGCTGGCACATATTGACAGCTGCAAGTTTCATATCACTTTCTAAAGCTTGAAGGCTTCCTTTTAATCCATGAACGTAGCTATCTTAACTACTTTATTTTATACTTCCATTATGCATATATCACTTGAATATATATACTATGTATATTTTGGAAATAAGATTTGTACAACCCTGGCTTGTCTGGAATTTACTGGGACAGTGTGTCAATTTCAAAGCTTATCCTTAAATGAGTGTGCCGTTGTTTTGTTAAGACACACCATCGCAGAGGGTGCAGTTCATCCTCGGGACTGAAGACGATGATGAGGAGCACATTCCCCATGACCTCTTCACAGAGATGGATGAGCTCTGCTACAGAGATGGAGAGGAGTATGAATGGAAGGAGACGGCCAGGTAACTCTCTGTGCTCACTCTCGGCTTTATGAAGCGAAATCACAAGAGAGAGTGCCGATGGTTTCTGTGTTCACTATTTATTTAGTTACTCAGGTAGGCTCTTGTTTTACACCCCCAGCTGATCTGGACTTTAGGATGTAGCCCAAGCTGGTCATGGACTTGCAGCAATCCTCCTGTTTCTACCTACTTAATGCTGGGATTATAAGAATGAGCCACCTTTCTGGGGCTCTACATTAGAAGATTTCCTAGTTAATGCCTGGAAATTTTCTTTTGTTCTTTGCTCTCAGTTTATTTCTTTGAATGAGCTCATTTAGTATGTTAATACCGTTTGTGTGGTTGGTATTAAGATGTCTGAACAGATTTGAAGTTAAAAATCCTATGTTGTGAAATGCTGCAGTTTTGGTTTTGTGGGCTTACTATTTTAAATTCATGCAATGGTAATTTATTTACATATTGTTAAACTACAATCTTATCATGCGATGTAGGTGTCAGATTTGATGGCTGCAGACAGTGTATACTATTGGCCTAATTTGTGGAAATGTATTTGAGGCAGAATTTTGTTCCAGTAGTGATCTCTTGTTTCTTTTTAAAAATCAAGCTTATGTTTATGGTATTAAAATAAACAAATGGAATGTCCACTGTTTTTTAGTTTTTTTATATTATCCATTTAGGTGGCTGAAATTTGAGGAGGATGTTGAAGACGGTGGAGACCGATGGAGTAAACCATATGTGGCAACTCTCTCCTTGCACAGTCTCTTTGAATTGAGGAGTTGTATCCTGAATGGGACAGTCATGCTGGATATGAGAGCAAGCACTCTTGATGAAATAGCAGGTTATATAGTAAACTGACTTTTTTACGTTAAAGAAAATTAGATAAAGAAAATAAGGTGTGATTTTAAGATACTCATTTAACAACTGTGTATGGAACTAGTTCTACTCTTTGTAGGGGCATCGTAGGTTTGTGTAGAGACTAACACATTAAATTAGAAGTGTGATCACTGCCATAAGCACATAAATAGTCTGCTCTCTGAGAAAGTCTCCCAGGGTAAAAGCCCAGTGAGAACATTAAATACACAGCCTTCGAGTATTTGCTTAGTGTATGTAAGGGTTCCATCCCTAAGAGAAAGAAAAAGCAACAACAGAGAAAGTCACCCCACTAGACTCATCTTAGTGCCATTGTTTAAATCTACACGGGGCTGCAGAAGTGGCTTGGAGACTAAACACATTTGTTGTTCTTGCAGAGGATTTGGGCTTGGTTTCCTGCACCCCCTTGGCAGCTCTCAGCTGTCTGTAACTTCCTAGGGATCTGGTGCCCTTTTCCAATGCCTACAGGCTTCTGCAAGCACATGGTACATGTCAGGAACAGACACAGATTTGTAAAATAATAAATATACCTTTAAAACTTTGTATGTATTTTTTTGTACATTGAAAATATGCCCAGTAGTGCACAGAGCAGTGCTGGCGTCCGTCCTTTCTTTCTTCCATTCCTTTCACTTTTTGACAGAATTTGCCTTGTCTGGGATTTTTATCTACTTCATTGGTCTGTGCCTCTTGCAGAGTAAGAGCTACCACTTCTTTCCTGCCCTGTTCCTAGACTGCACAGACAATTAGACGTCTTTGGAGCCTGTGCCATTGAATATTTAGTTAAATAGAATTCACTGCTACTCATTCGTTTATTAACTAGAATTTACCATATCTATATAGGAAAGCCGCCTCTTTAAAACACACTGGATAATGTTCATATTTATCTTCATGCATATGCTTAGATAGTGTTTATATAGTAAAAATACTATTTTTTTTTTTCATTGAATAGATATGGTGTTAGACAACATGATAGCCTCTGGCCAGTTAGACGACTCGATAAGGGAGAACGTCAGAGAAGCTCTCCTGAAGAGACATCATCATCAAAACGAGAAAAGATTCGCCAGTCGGATTCCCCTGGTTCGATCTTTTGCAGATATAGGCAAGAAACATTCTGACCCTCACTTGCTTGAAAGGAATGGTGAGATAAGTTGTGGTGTCCAGTTTTCGCTAACCTTTCTCTAACGGAAGCTGTCTGCTATATTAGTGTGTGCTGCGAGGACGGTGTGTCTCCTGTTATCATTCTCACTTCTTCATTATCTATCACAGGCTGACCTGGAACACTGTGTAGCCTTTGCTGACCTTGGACTTGGAATTCTTCTTCCTTAACCTCCCAAGTGCTAGAAATATAAGTCTCTATTAATAAGACCAGTGTGCGTTAGAAATCACTTGGATGAAGTAAAAGCATTCACCGTTATTAAAAGGTCATAACTTTCCTTAAGCAATCTATAAGTACAGTCACTGTCCCTTACCCTTAATCACATCTGCTTCTCTGTTGGGATTTGAGGTTTCTTCCTTAAAAATTATTTAAGAGGCATACATTTATAATCTGTAATTTTAATGTTTTTAGTTCTAAATACTGAGTTTACTTTACGCCTATATCAAATTGATTTGCCTCCTAAACTGATCATAAACGAGCACTTTGGGAGTTGGTTTCAGATATTCATATACCTTGTGGAAGGTTTCACGATAGGGCTGTCTGATGCAAATGGCAGACAAGCTGATGTCTTTCAGTCCATTGAGAATGGTGCGAACCCAGGTGCCGAGACCCAGTTCTACCATTCCTTTCAGAGGATGGTGGCATCTTATGTAGGACTTGGGGAGACAGTGTTTTTGTTTTTTAAATTTTACTTTTCTATTGTGTGTACACGTTTTGCCTGCATTTATGTATGTGCACTACATGAGTGCCTGGTGCCTACGGATGTCAGAAGAGGCCATTGGATCATCTGGAACTGGAGTTAAGGATGGTTGTGAGTTACCATGGGGAACTTCCTGTGGAAGAGCAGCAGGTCTCTTTAACTGCTGCTGAACCATCCTTTCCTCCCCAACTCTAAATAGTCAGTTAGTTGTCAGTTTCTGAGAACTAATGCACATTGAATATTCATCTCACCTTACTGTTTTCTTTCCAAAGCAGGAACACACCAGTATGGTTCTCACTTGACTCTTAAACAGAACTGTGATAACAGAACCTAGACAGGCCAGGTGCAGCCGACAGGCCAGATGCAGTGGGTCGTTACTGCCTCTGACTGTCATGACAGGAAGCCTAGGAGAACTGCAAGCTGGGACAACTGGGATATGGGACACAGTAGCTTTCTGCTCTTTGTCTGTCCCTGTTCTCCACTGTGATGAAGTAAATTTATTTACTTCAAGGACTCTACTAAACTTCTATTCCTCATATTCAGTCAATGTTTTCTTTTTATCCTCTTTGTAGTTTAATTTCTTTTCATCATAAGACAATGGCTATTCTTAAGCAATTTTACTTTGTTAATTTTGTTACATTATAGGTATAATGTAATAACCTTTTCTGCATGTAGCTCCTTAAAAGATAAACGATAGTTGTTTATGTATTAACAATTGTTTCTACTAATTTATTTTAGTTAACATACAAATAATAGATTTATCACATTCTTTATTTTTGCTATATTTGAGTCTCCTGATCATATAGCTTTGATTCCTTAGTCCACAAGAGATTGTTACATTTCTCAAACAACTACCATTTAGTTTGAAAAGGCCACAAGGGAAAGAATGTTTCTCTTTTATGCTCACTTACCAGTGTATTCCTATGCTTTTGAAATAGTCTAGACTACCTTTCCTATTGCTCTTGTTAAGATGGTAAAATGCTTTGTTTTTAGCTAGCTAATGCAGCAGTTGTGTATAGTTGATTAACTGGCTGGACTATGGTAGAAGCAAGACGTGCTCTGAAATATTGACCTAAAACTTAATGTTATAATTCTTATAATTCTCTTTGTTTCTCTCATTTTCTTTCTTTTTCTTCCTTTTTTCCTTCCTTTTTCTTTTTTTTTTTTTTTCTTTCTGTGACAGGGCCTTACTGTGTAATCCTGTCTGGCTTGAAACTTGCTTTGTAGACCAGGGTATCCTTGAATTAAGATTTATCACTCCTGGCTATAATTCTCTTGAAAAATAATTCTTACAAATTGTCTTGTATTTTTAAAATGTACTTAAGAACACTGGCCAGCCTCTTGTTACACACATTTGTTACCAGTTTTAAGCTAATTATTAGGTAATGCTAATATAGAGTCTTGACATCTATAGATGTTCCTAGTTAGGAAAAATGTCCAATAACTTTTCAGTGACATTATAACAAGTAAGAATGTGACTGACCTCTAACCCCACAGATGAATCTGAAGCTTGTGATTTGTGGTTTGAACTGAGTTTTGTGTTCTCTATTTACTTAATACAATGGAAATCATTTTTTACTTACTTGTTTTATCTCAGGCGAAGGCCTGTCAGCCTCCCGCCACTCCTTGCGAACAGGTCTGTCTGCCTCAAACCTTTCCTTGAGAGGAGAATCGCCTTTATCTGTTCTTCTCAGTCATCTTCTCCCTTCTTCGAGAGCTGGAACCCCTGCAGGCTCAAGGTGTACCACCCCAGTACCCACCCCTCACAGCAGCCCTCCTTCCAGCCCTGGCTTAAGTCGCCTGGCCTCCAGAAGTTCCCAGCTGAGTCAGCCTCAGGCCCCAGAGCTACTGGTGTCACCCAGCAGGGATGATATTCCCAGAGTAGTAATTCATCCGCCCGAGGAAGACATAGAAGCACTCAAAGACCAAGAGCAGAAGAATGAGGAGAATGTTGACTTCACTCCAGGCAACTGTCCAGAGTCCTCCACGTGTGGTGCCCTGCCTCTGGCTCACCTGCACTGAGAATGCCTGTCACACATAGCTTGAGCAGCATATGTAGATAGCGCTTATGATTGGACAGCTGCATGGTCTTGCTCTTTACAGTGTATTACAGAACAGAATAAAGTCATTAAAACTTAGGCTATAAAAATATTATGAAGAAGGCCCATAATTTTTTTTGTTTTTGTTTTTTTAGAGATCACGATATTTGGGTAGTTTAGCAAACATATTTTTGATGTGACTTCGAGAATGGTGGTGGTACTTCTCTTAAGAGTGTAGTACAGCTTAGCCGTCCTAACACGATAGGATGCCATGCTGTTTTTCTCATCCTCTCTCTGACAAGACTGACGTTTTCAAACAATTGATTGTAGTCATTATTTCAAGAGGAGTGGTGTAGCTTGGAACAGACTGTACTCTTTTATTTATGATTGTGTGTTAGTCCAAGTTTCTCCTGATGCTTTTCAGAACCATGGGCTCTTTACTCAGGCTGAGGATGTAGTTTTGTAAGTGGATTACAAAACTTTCTTATGGGGCTGCAGAGGTCTCTGTAGGCAAGACTTCATACTGGACCTGACTTTGATTTCTTGCACCCTTGTTAGGTGGGTCACGGCTGGCTTCCTGTAACTCCAGCTGCAGGGCCTCTGACGCCTTCCGCCAGCCTCTCCAGATCACTCATGCACATGCTTATACAATAAACACGCATACAATTAAAAATAAAATATAATATGTGTGTGTGGGGGGAGAGAGAACAGTAAAGATCTTTGTTAGTTGAGAATTGAGGCATATATTCTTTTAATATTACTACAAATCTTTATGACAAGATTATCAATTTTCTGAATAGGTGAAATTAAAGTGTTTGGATTTCTGAAGACAAAATGAAGCTCATAACTAATGAGAAAAGTCATAGGATCAACCGTCATCACTTCCTTCGTAACTGCCATTTGCACTTAGAACATTTAGTTGTTTCTGGCAGGACTCCGGAAGCTGATGCCATAGAGAAGATGCCAGAGAGCTCCTCCATAGAAAGGAAGGCTACTGGAACTTGGCTTTAGCTATGTAGCGCAGTGAGAGGAAGCTTCGTTTTTTGCCGACTGAATTGATTCTCAGCAGAATTAGTATCAGGAGCTGGAGACTTGACTAATTAAAGAGACAGCTTTACCTTGGCTGAGGCTTGCAGAGATTACTCAGAGAGAATCATGGTAAACTAGACTGCTTTAGTTTCTTTCTAAGAACCCGTTGTCATCTAGTTTTGAGCTTCTGATCCTTCTGTCTCTACGTTCCAAGTGCACACAGGAGTGTGCTACCACACTTGGCAGGGTAATGTTCTTAACGTGCCCCAGCCAATTGAAAAAGGAACATGTTGAAGATGGCAAGCACAGCCAAACAGTTTCAACTAATTTCCTCCTTTGTCCCCATTGAATTTATTTCTTCTTTCTGTTCCTACTGACCTTGCCACCCCCCATCCCCACAAGCCTTGTTCTTAGGTCTCAGATCTAGTGGCTGAGTTGTTCTAGAAACTGCATTATGTTCTTATTTTGATGATGTGTAAAATAATAGTCAGTAGTGCCTAGTACTTAGTCACAGTTGGCACCAGGGTTTAATAATGTGCTTCTTGATCTTGTGTGTGAGTATATAGAAGCCACTGATGAGGATAATTTTTCCCACCTCCTTGGAAAGAAGAGACACTGCTCTGAAAGCTAGGGACAAAGGTTAACTATGAGGAATCTTAATAACTTTTCCATACTAAGTCAACATTTAAAAAAGTATTTATTTTAGGAAATAATTTTTATTTCAGAAATGTTTAATTTGAGAATTACATGACTACATTAAGTGCAGTGCTTTTTATATGAAGGTTTTTCACTTATATTGATACCCCAGTTTGTTGACCTGGGAAATTGATATCATCGAGGACTTCACTCAGAGTTGAAACAGCTTTTAAACCCAAATGCCTTAATTTTATGTTCACTAGTTATAACTGCTGTATTCTAGAAGAATAAACATGCTTGGTTGTATCAAGTATATCTGATATGCTTGAAATTGTAGAAACGATTACTAATTTTAACCAGTGACTGGTACTGACAAATATTAACTGCACTTCTGTATTATATTGCAGTTTCTTCCCCTAAAATGTTCAGTGTTGTGTGCATTAATTGGTTTATATTCTTGGACTAGAAGGCTTTTTTTTTTTATTTTCTAAGGAAAAAAAGATGTATTCAGTGGTAGATATCTGTGTGTTGAAACTTGGATTTTAAGTTTTTGAGATTTGAGCTTTTTCTAGAACTCTTAGAGGTAAAGATTGCTTAATCTTTATGTTGTGCTGCTTGGAACTGCCTTCCTGTGAGCGTTGCTGCTGAATGAGTACACTAACATGAACATGCATCATTTGTAACTGGACAACAACCAGGCTAGTCACACCCTAAGTTATAGGCTCGTTGGAACCAGAGGGCTTGAGTAAATCACTCAATCACAGGGCCACAAGTGATGAGTATTATTTATCCCAAATCTCTTTGATTTTAATCTTTTTACTGGGATAGCTTGTTTGTGGTTTTAGGTTTCTTAGGAAGAATGACAGTAGAAACTAGACATAAATACTGCTGAAGAAAAATAAAATTTCTTAGGGAAACATGATTAAGAAAGATTAAACAAAGCACACCTCTTAAATTTTGTGAATTACAATTGGAAAGAATTCATATTGGCACTGATATGAGTGTCCTAGGGGAAGTTAGGGCTCACTGAGTTCTGTACGGGTCACACGAGGTAGAGACACTCGAAGTCCGTTACCCAGAAGTAGTGTGGCAGTAGGGCTGGTTCCACACTGGCTCACTTCTGTGAAGGCCACTGTGTGGATTCTGTAATGCTCTAAATATTAAGTGCACAGCTTCATCCTGTTCATGTGTTCTAATTCATGCTGCTGGTACGGAGCTAACATCTGCACTTTTTAACCTCTCACATTTGCTTCGGTAATGAGCCATCGCTTTAAGGATATGAGCAGCATCAGGCTACATGGTGGATTTTCTCTTTACTAATTCGGTTGTGTATTTTCTTAAATACAGGGATTTTGGCTTCTCCACAGTCTGCTCCTGGAAACTTGGACAATAGTAAAAGTGGTGAAATGAAAGGTAACGGAAGTGGAGGAAGCAGAGAAAATAGTACTGTGGACTTTAGCAAGGTAATTCATTAATTGTAAATTTTCATTAGCTTTCCCACTGAGAAAATAACTAGTAATGTGTTGCTTTGTTGCCATTGCTTATAGTAACTGTTTAGTAACCTGCTGCTTACACACTTGCATAGGATGCCTGTGAGATGTTATGGGCAGAAACAGGGATAGGCTCCATGTTTGTAACTACATGCTTACAGTTGCAGCCGTTCAGAAGAAATGGATTTTCTTTGGGCCTGCTCATAGATACTCTGGCACCTGGGTCTCTCTGAAGCGATTTTCTTGGGTGTGACGTCGCAGCACTGACAGCTTTCTTCCTGGGTTCTACTGCATCCCAGAATTACTGACTCATGGTTCTAGGACCTTCTAGAATGCCACTGGGAGGCATGGGTAGATCGAGGCATGGTTTAAACAAGAACAAGAAGCTCCTGTGAATTGATTTTGTTTAATGAGTAGTTCAGGGAAGTAAAGATGGAAGCAACAGAACAGAGAGACCCTGGGTTTTCAGGATAAGCTCAAGTGACAGCTGAGTTTCAAGAGTACTTCCTAGTGGTTGGGAAGTCCCTTAATTTGCTGCCTGTCAGTTTACCATTAATTCATGGAACAGTGATATTTTTGCACCTTCTTTTTAAGGCTTTGTTGTAAATATCAAATAGATTTCCGTTTTTTAAAGCGGTTTTCTGTTTCACAGTGTGTCCACAAATCATGCACACTCCACTGAAAAGAGGTTTAAATGATTTGTATTGTTGTTTTGTGGAGTTTCATACTTCCCCATTATAGAAAGGCTTACCATTAGGGATTTTGACTATTCAGAAAAGGTGTTCACCTGGGCATGGTAGCATGTGCCTATAATCCTAGTTATCCAGAGGCCAAGGCAAGAGAGCCTCAAGTTTATGGCTATCCTAGGTTACATAGTGAGCTCTAGACTACCCTGAACTAAATAGCAACTTGTCTTTTAAAGCAAAACAAACAAAAGTCTTTTGCAGTTGTCATTTCTAACTATCTTGTTTTCATTAGTGCTCTGTTTCAGATCATCAGAAAGTGTTCCTAGCTAAATTGGATTTTATTCGTTGTTGCTGAATAAGTAAATTACCATAATTTGCATTGTGGTTCTTGTCTAGGCATGGCAGTGTGGTTGATCTTTGTTTCTCTGTCAGTTGCACTTTTTTACTTGGCCTGTTCTTGTGTACCCTCCCTGTCTCTTGTTGGGCAGGAGTCTGCCTCCTGGCACTGTAGTTGTGGCACACTGGGAGTGGGACTCAAGAGGCCCGCTGTAAGTGCTGGTTTCATCTTTTAATAGATAGTTTTGTTAGTGGTCGTTTAGTAGCTTGTGTGAACCTATGTATCAGTGAGAGCTTCACTACTTTGGGGTCATGTTTGTTACCTTTTTGTAATTATACACAGGTGGCTGAGTTTCCCTTACACACCGTTCCGTGTCTGAGCTAATCAAGTCTATCAGTTCTCATTGTAAAGAATATTTTTTTTTTCATTTAAGGAAAATACTAAGAAATGGTAGTGTTTTATTTTTTAAAAGGAGAATTTATAAAGACATGAAACAATAAGACTTAATGAAAAATCATGCAATGAATTTGTTGTAGCACTGTGTATAATTTCATAAGCCATTGTTAGTTTGTGCACTGTGTGTCCTCACCAGTTTTTAATGAATAGTCTATTCATTGAAAAATTCTCAAGTTTATGTTTGATAATATACAGCTCTAAAGTAATAAAGACTATAATAGCTAAAACAATAGATGACGAATTTTGCTTGCATTTTTTGTATTTGTCTACTTCATTCTTATCTGTGGGAGTTTTGGTGTTTATGCATCTTTTAGATCACAAGTTTTGATTGCCAGTAGTAGTTTTAAAGTCATTCTTTTATTCATATCTAAGTAATTATATTTCTAAATTATTCATTTATCAATAGGTTGACATGAATTTCATGAGGAAAATTCCCACAGGAGCGGAAGCATCCAATGTTTTGGTGGGAGAAGTGGACTTCTTGGAGAGACCGATTATTGCGTTTGTGCGACTGGCTCCTGCAGTTCTCCTGTCCGGGCTGACTGAGGTCCCTGTGCCCACTAGGTAATGAGTTCTCCTTTGTGGTTGTTCCTGTGGACCCACTGAAAGCGTCCTTGCTCTGTGTAATAGAGGCACTGTTTAACTGCTGGTTTTCAGTTGTGTCAATGCTTTTGAGTACAAGAGTGTAAATTATCCTCCCTTCTCCAACTTTTACCTGATTCCATTCTGCAGCTGACCTGGACCTTACTGTGTAGCCAGCCTGGCCTCTGATTCCTCCTTTTCCCTCCCAAACAATGAGATCGTAGCTATGAGTCACCTCCTGCTATAGTAATACTGTGTGAAAACAGTCTTCATTTGTATCTTTATAAAATGTTTGGTATCTTAGGAACTTGTGTTTTACAAAGCCAGTCATTGAGATTCATTTTTGTGCTGGGTACCCAGAAGATGGCTTGCTCAGGTTCACTTTTCATTCTGTTCTGGGCTGCACACATCCTTTGTGTACTCATGCAAATTCTTTGCTGTGGTTTTCCATCCATATACATTGGATAACAAATTAATCTGGCTTGAAATCATAAAGAATAATTAGCAAGTTGTGTTAATTAGCACATGAGCCATGAAAAGGACATGTGCAGATCGTATCAGAAGCTTAATTGTGACTATGACTTGTTTTGAAATTAACTTTTTTTTTACTCTATTTTTGTTTGATGGGTTTTTTGTTTGTTTGTTTTAAATGAAGTCATGTGTGTGGTCCAGGTTGACTTCTTATCCCTGACTATGCTTCTGCCTCAGCTTCCTGAGTGCTGACATCCGGGCATATGCACTGTACTAGGGGGATTTTGCAGCAGGGAGCTTCCACAGTACCATGGAGAGGTGTGGTAGATTATGTGTTCTCATGACCGACTCAGTAATTAAGAATTAATAGGAATTTGATGGAAAATACTTATTTTATATGTATTTATTCCATTTTCACTAGTGATACAGTGTTGATAAGTGAGGGAAAATTATTCGATTGCCTCATTTGTAAATTTTCATAAAGCAGGAGCATAAGTATTTGGATCAGAATATTAATATTTTATATAAGGCTGAAGTAATGATGAAACCCATTATTTTGTATTATTACCTACAAAAATAGTTAAAATATTAGTATCTACTCTAGTGTTAACAGGGTGCAACTATACTTTTTATTTAACGCTTAAATAGAAACAGGTCTGATATTGAAGTTGGAAATTCTTTTCCCTCACGGAAAAGTTACTTAACTAGATGCCATATTTGTAGTGTTAAAGCGTTGATCCAAAATAGTTTCAGACTACAAATCTTTTGTGTGTATATTCTGTACTATTTGATTTGACAGGCTTTGCTTTCAAGAAATCAGTGTAGGACAAGGGATGTGTCTCAATTGGTAGAGAGATGGCTTGGCATGCACAAAGTCCTGGTTCAGTTTCCAGCACTCCATAAACCAGGTGTGGTGGGCCACACCTACAATCCCCTCACTTGAGTGGAGGGGCAGTGGAGGCCGGAGGATACAAAGGTCAAGGTTACCTCTGGCTACACAGTAAGTTCTAGATCATCCTGTGTTATACTACCCTTTCTCCAAAAGAAATCAGCATGGAAACAGTGTGGTGCTGCAAATCTGCCACCCAGCACTCAGAAGACTGAGTGAGGAGTTCGAGGTCAGCCTGGTTGTTTCATCCAGAAGGATATAAAAGATGAAAATTTTTATGAGAAACATTTCCTTAGTAACTGTTTTTGCACTAAGGAAGATGGGAAAGGGGTAAGTTGGTAGAGTTAATTGTGAATGCATTTTATAGTTTCATGATCTGATTTTTGCTTGTTTTGTTCGGTTTTTGAAATAGGATCTCCTGTTGCTTAAGCTGAGAGGATGACTTTGAACTCAGAGCCTCTTTGCCTCTGCCTTTCAAGTGTTGGAATAGCAGGCTTGCCCACCACACTCAGTTAAGATCTGTTTTGAATAGAATTGGCCATTTTTTCCCCCTTGATTCTTGTAGGTGATTGCAAAGAAGGTCTGTGTGTTGCGTCTGTGTTTATAATGGAATTATTTGTAGAAGTTTCCTGGATTTGTGTATATGTGTTGTTTCTTTTAAAATCTGCATATTTCAATCTTTCCTTAGGTTTTTGTTTCTGTTACTGGGCCCAGCAGGGAAGGCCCCACAATACCATGAAATTGGCAGATCCATAGCCACTCTCATGACTGATGAGGTAATTACAGTCAAATCCCTTTGAGCTAGACAGTGAATATGCAATTATAGCCCTTCTTTCTCTCATAGTAAAGCTTATAAAATGATCTTTGATGTCTATGCTATTTTATTTCATATGTACTCTTCTAACACATGCATTTGTTGAGGGTTTTAAGATTTATTTCTTAGCAATAGTAGGTAGTTTTTCATCTGTTTTATTGCTATTCTTTCAATTTGACGTTTTGAAATTTATTTGGTCCTAGCTTTTAGGGTGTTACCTTTTTGGGTCTTTTGCTGTTTCTTCTTACTTCTCTCTCTTGATTTTGTTATTGTGTTTGGCTGTAAACTCTTTAGTGATCAGAACTTCTGCTTCTTTGAGAGAGATTTCTAGAAGATTTTGCCAGACATGCCAACATATCTTCACAGACCATTAGAAACTCTGTAAACCTGGACCTCGTTCGTGTCAGCTCATCATACATTTCTGTAATCACTGCCATTTTTCTGGTCTAGACTCTGACCTTTACTGTGGCAACTCAAGTGATTCTTTTTCCTTTGGAGTTCTTACCTGTGTTGACAATAATAACATATATATAAGTCTAATATTGAATCCAGAATTTATCCATAGCCTAATTATTTAAAGTTTTTTTTCCCCCTTTTTTGAGTTGTGTTTTCTCTATAATCCAAGCATACTTCAAACTAGCTGTGTAGCTGAGGTTGGTCCCACCCTTGGGAATCTTAACTTCGTCTCTCGAGCGCTGGGATAAAGATATGAACCACCACATCTGCTTTACGTTCAGATCAAACCTTGTTCTGGTATTTTCAGGGAACCTTGCACGTATCCCATGCTTACACCCTGCTCTGGCCATAGTAGCTTCCTTTCTGTTTCTTGGATGAGTTTTGCTCTTCGTACCCCTGTACAGTACAGCTATGATTCTGTCTTCCTAAGTACTGTTTTACCATTTCCCTCAGTTATTACTGTTTTGTTTGTTTGTTTGGCTTTTCTTGGATGAAGTCTTTTGTATAGCCTGGACTGTGCTCAAACTCACACCAGTTCTTCCCCTATGCCTTCAGTTGCTGGGTTATCAGTCTTCTCAGCAACATTTTTGCTTGGCTGCTTATTTTTCTCTTGTCAGCTTTCCATTCTGCACTGTTTAATATTTTTTCTTTTTTTGAACTTTTGTCCCTCTTGATCATAATTATTTTCAGAATAAATAACACTTTAATGGCAGAAATACAATGACCTGACATTATTGTAATGAATTATTTTGTAGTGAATCGATTTTTATCTTGTAAAATTACTATTTATCTGTGAAATATTTTCTTTGTACCAACTCATCATTTTCTTCAGTTATTTGTTGTTGATTGATCTATTTATGTTAGTCCATACTAATGATGGACTAACTCCGCTAGGTGAGGTGAATGTCTGCAGCTGATGAGAGTTTATACCATTTTTAGTGACTTTATTTTTGTTATTTATTTTACATCCTATGCATATATGCACATATAAGTGCAGGTCCCGTGGAGGCCATGAGGTTGTGTCATATCCCCCAGAATTGGAATTACAAGTAGTTATGAGCCACCCTACAATTCTGGGAACTGAAAGTGTATCCTCCGCACAGTGCTGCTGTTAAATCATGGGCCCTTGCTCCAGCACAGAATTTATTCCTGCATCTAAAGTGCATTTTAATACAGTCAGTTCTTTCTGTCCACTGTCGAAATCCTTATGCTCGGTATCTTCTCTCCTTAGATTTTTCATGATGTAGCTTATAAAGCAAAGGATCGAAATGACCTTTTATCTGGAATTGACGAGTTTTTAGATCAAGTAACTGTCCTTCCTCCAGGAGAATGGGATCCTTCCATACGCATAGAGCCACCAAAAAGTGTTCCTTCTCAGGTAAGAACCTGGATATGCTTCTAGGGGTGTTTTCTTTTTTCTTTTTTAAGTTAAAAACTTGTAATAAAATGTGAATTATGCATGTTTTATAACTCAAAAGTCATAACTATTTATAGTGGGTATGGCTTAGTGGGTGCACTTTGTCAGCATGCCCAAGGCCCTAAATTTGAACCCTGATACTGGAAGTAGGAGCTATAGGAACCAAAGGTAGATTTAGGGAGGATGTACCCTTGTTACTATGTCTCTTGTGTGTTTGTCTGTTGTCAGCTTTGTGGTCCTGATTATTCTGTACCTGGACATGTAAATGTTCATAACCTGCCTACTCTTTTGTTATTTGCATCATTTTAAGTTGATCATTGTGTGTGTGTGTGTGTGTGTGTGTGTGTGTGTGTGAAATCTGTCTTTATTCTTCATGTGCTATTATCAGCACTTTAAATAGTCTGGAATAATTTGTTTTTGCAAGTTTGGGAAATTTCTGGTATACATTTTTGAGCCACATCTCTTGCCAAGTGTGGGCTTTAACAAGTTGCTTCATTCCTTTATGAAAATTGGTTTATGTGAGCTTCTCTTCCCTCTCAGGTCAGTTCTTGTAAATTCTGTTTGCCTGGTGTATTACCCATTGTGACCATATTTTAAATTTTCTTGGAAAAGCTTACCTATTAAACTTTCCTTGGCTTGTGGAATTATATCCTGACATATCTTTGATTTGACTAATAGGTAAATTATTTATTCATTATATTTTTCAAAGAGTAGTTTGTAAAATTATTTTAGATTTTTTAAAAGATGGATCTTTTTCTGCTTCATCCGTGCTTTTAGCTGATTTGCTTCACCCCTCTCACTATCCTCCAGTAAAGGTTTATTTTATCCTTCTTTCATTACGTAGTTAATTATTTCCCTTTTAAAGTTTTCCTTTTTTTACATTTATTTTATTTTATATGTATGGGTGTTTTGCCTGCATATGAATGTGTACCACATGCGTGGCTGGTGCCCAGGATCAAGTATCCCAAAACTGGAGTTATGCATAGTTGTGAGCCACCATGTTAATGCTGGGAATTGAACACAGATTCTCTGAAGAGCAGTCAGTGCTCTTAACTACTGAGCCATCTTTCTAACCCTCATCTTTTAAATTTTTTGTATATAAAAAAAAATTGTTTCGTTTGATTTTTGTTTTGTAGACAAGATTTCCTTAAACTTCTAGTGATCCTCCTGCCTTAGTGTCTTACTAGAATTGTAAGCATGAGCCACTGATTGATACTTCATATTTTCATGTTTTAGCTACAACTTAGCTATGTCATATGTTCTTTTGTTCTTACTTTCTTGGGCTTCTATGTTGTTTTCTGTTTCCCCTTTGATGTAAGGGGAAACACATTGGTTTTAGCTTTGACCCTTTCAAGTGGTGATCTTCCTTTTTTATCCAAATCTAGCTACTCTGTATTAATAAAGTGTTGTGTATCTAGGTCCATGGGAGTTTTAAAACTTCACAGGAGCTCTTACAGACACATATATCTGTCTTGCTCCCTGCTTATTCTATTTCCTCCCTCTTTGCATTATATATGTTTATCTGCACATAGGTATTCCTTTAGCCAGTTCTCTGTTGAGGTAACCTATTTGTGTTCTTGTCGGGGAGAAGATCCTTTATCTTAGAAGTGGTTTCGTTGATTTTAAAATAAAATATAAGGGGAAACTGAAGGAATTCTTGTGTTACTTATCTAAGGAAATATTTTAGGAAAGGGAAAATGTTGGTTTCTGCCTTCTTTTCCTTCCCTTCCTCCCTCTTTCCTTGAAGTTCAAGATCTTTTTCATAGCCCAGAATGTTCTTGAACTCAGACTTTCTGCCTTAGCCTCCTGAGAACTGGCAGTGCAGGTGTATGGAAAAAGTAGTATCTTTAAAAATTAATGAAAAATTTATTTTTGGTAGTTAACCACGAGTAGTATTATAAATATTTTGATGAAAATGTGCTTCTTTTCGAGAATGTTTATGTTTATAGCTGGGTTTGCTAGTGTCACCTTACCATAAGCTTGAGTTGTTTAGGAAGGAAGGGAATCTTACTTGACTAAGAATTTCCATAGGCAAGACTGAAGTCTGTAAGGGCCTAGCTCACTGTGGGCAGTGCCACCGCTTAGCTGGTGGTCTTGGATGCTATAAGAAAGCAAGCTGAGCAAACCATGAGAAGCAGGCCAGTAAGCAGTGTTTCTCCCTCGTCTCTGCTCCAGTTCTTGGCCCTAGGTTCCTTGTCCTGACGTCCCTTCATGAAGGACTAAGATCAGGACATATGAGCTGAACCCTTTCCTCTCCAATTTGCTTTTAGTCACAGCAGCAGAAACTAACTAAAAAATAGTTACTGCAGAACAGCAATTTGAAATGGTATATTTATCTTATAATACACTGATGTTAGAAGGAGCAGAGAGCTAATTATAAATTTATAATGTGAACAGAAACAGGTGGTAAATTCTTTTAAATTGCATCTTTTTAAAATGCTATTAAATGTTATTGTTTTAAAAGGTTATACTAGAAAATATTTTTTCCCATGTGTGCTTGTGTAAAATCCTCATGAGATGTAATATTTCCTCTAGCAATCTCAGATACCTTGTCAGTTTTCTTAAAGTTGAATTCTAAAAGTATGTTTCTGTGGAATTCAGGAAAAGAGGAAGATTCCCGTGTTTCCCAATGGATCTGCTCCAATGTCTGCCGAGCCTCCTAAGGAGGCTGCTCATCATGCCGGGCCTGAGCTGCAGAGGACTGGACGGTGGGTACAGTTGTTTCTTGGGGGATTAAGCACTGGTTTGATAGAAAGGCACCAACAGTCTTCTCTTTTAACTCCTCAAGTATTTGGAACCTAATCTCGTATATTATTTCTTCTGTGGTTTTGTAAAAACGCATTTTCTATAAGATATATAACATTAAGGAGAATTTATGCATTTTAAAACAATTTTAATAACACATACCAATTTTTAAAATGAAAATAATGGGACATATATTCAAATTTGTCGTTATTATTATATTATGTGGGTTTTTTGGTAACGTCTACAAAGGTTCTGAAAAAAAAATATAGATTCTTTTCCTAGTTAAAGAATTACAGTGAATGATTTTTATACATTGTGCATGGATTTAAAACTTACGTGAACATTACTTTTTGAAATACTGTAAAATTAGATGGACAAGCATGTTTAAACCCTACTATTGGCATCTGGAAACATTATTAGAGAAATTAGAAAGTTAATTTTAGAGTAAAGGATAGGAATGTTACCTGGTAAAGTGTAATAAAATATCTTTAAAACACTGTGTAGTAGTTAATTGTGGCAGCATTTCCATACTGTTGTGAAGTAAAGCTATTGGTGTTAAATGGGGCACTGGTAGTCACTGTGGTTTTAAAAGGACCTAGAGTTCAATCTTTGTTTATATAACTAGGGTATCTTATACAGACACTGTTGACAAGAACAGCAGCTAATATATTCAACACAGTCAACATCAATGACTAGTGAAATGGAACAGAATAAGATTTTATCTTTGTGAATGTAACAGAATAAGATTCTATTTCTCCGCCAATAGTTCTGGTCTCCTATTGGCTGTAACCATTTCTTTGTACTTTAGAGATGGAAGTACCTAGTTACAGGCACATTCCTCTCAGGCACCTGAGAGCCTCCTTTGCCACCTGTTAAGTAATCAGTTGTTCATTTGATGATGATTTATTTTCTACATTGTCATTGATACCTTTTTAATTGAAAGCTGATTCTTTTGTGACAGAATCACTTCCGCTTGTCAACTCGCCTTTAGGATTTGTTTAGTATCTAACTTAAAAAAATTAGATGGTAAAGCTTGAAGCATCCAAACCCTCAAAAGTTTAAATTTAGTATTCATCTATTTTCTTGCATTTGGTATATATATATATAAAATCCCCTGTTTCCTGAGTCATAAGACTGTTCTGAATTTTCAGTTCAGCAGTATTTATTTAGTACCTTTTGTATACCAGGCAGGGTTCTGCTAACAAGAAGCATGACATTGAACAAAAGTCCCTATCTCTTAGGGTGTTTATGTTTTATTGGGATATTTTCAAATTAAATATATCTAAAAACCCAGTTTTTAAGTTTAAATGGTATGGTTTTGATGTTTTAATGCAAATATAGGTTTTTATTCTTAATAAAACCTTTTAATTTTATTAATATACTCATTACATATGTAATAATGTACTGAAATAGCTTTAAAGGTTTTTTCTTGGACAAAAATACTCATATAAATAATTCAGGAGTTAAAAATCATTAGACATAGTTCTTAGTTGACTTCTGAGTTAAATGTTAGTGAGCCACATTCACTCTACTTATACAGTACTTACTGTGTAAGCTATAGCTGCCCATTGCCTTTCTGCTCTGTACTGCAGATAAAGAATAGAGTTGCAGTTGCACATTTACATGTATGGCTGGTTAGGTTTTGTTTATTATATGTTTACTTGTATATTTGCATTCAAAGTTGCTCCTAAAAGTCATTTGCCTGCAGCCTTTTCAGCATATATAGTTTAATGTTATGTTTCCATTAACTTAATGAGAGCTTTTTTTCTTCTGACATCATTTCATTAGAGTCAATGAGTATATCTTCTATAAGTTATACCGTGATTTAAATTTTTATTGGCAAAATAGTAAGCACCTACAGTTTTATGTAGCCCATAGATTTAGTGTGAACTAGTTAGAATCCTCTAGTCTACAGCTTGACGAGTTTCATCTCACCTATTTAGGCTTTTTGGTGGTTTGATACTTGACATCAAAAGGAAAGCACCTTTTTTCTTGAGTGACTTCAAGGATGCATTAAGTCTGCAGTGCCTGGCCTCGATTCTTTTCCTATACTGTGCCTGTATGTCTCCTGTAATCACTTTTGGAGGGCTGCTTGGAGAAGCTACAGAAGGCAGAATAGTGAGTACAAAAGATTGGTAGTGGCCAGGCTCCCAGCTCCTCAGAGGCAAGTGTCTGTATGCATTTGTCTCACTATTCGCGCCTGTATTTGAAGAGTCGACCCACAGCATTAACCTGTCCCAAAGCAGACTTCCCCCAAAGGTAATTGCTGTGGAAAACATGGGGAAGCCATTTGAACAGGAGAAGATGCACAGTTGAGGTAAAAACAAAAACCAAACAAACAGTTTATCTTACCTTGTTTGATGATATGGTTATAAATTGAGTAAAACTTCCATTGTCTTCTGGGGGATGGGTGGGTTGTGGGGGAGATGAACTGCTCTGGGTGGGTCATGGTGGGAACTTTATCCACGGGGCTCCCTGTCCTGTTAGTTACCATAGGGTTAGGATTATGACTGTATTTAACTCCTCAGCCCCAGCTGGTCACTGAACTGAGACCGTTTGAAACAACAAATGTAGCTATAGAGTGGATGGGAATTTTGAAGTTACGTTTGTTTTCATTTTGCTTTTTAATCTATCTGAAAGTTGATAAAACTTTTATTTGTAATTGGGTGCTGCCTCCCTTTTCCCATGTGAATGTAGAGTCCTGTTTGCTGTACTTGCTAATAACTGTGGAGGAACTGGTGCGTCATAAAATTTTGAATGGCATTTTATGGGGAGTATACATATATTTTAATGGCATTTGAGTGACATTTATAATTCTTGATTTCTAAAGTTTGTTTTAATAATACTTTTGAAAGAAATTTTATATATTTATAGATAAAAGGTTAAAACAATAGCTAAAATATAAGTGGTGACAATTCAATTATAAAGACATCTTTTTCTAAATAACTGAAAATTTGTAATCCTGAATTTGGTTTTTACTATTTAGATTCCTTTCTCCTTCAATCATTGTTCATAATATGTTTTTAGTTGCTATGCTGTCAAAAATTATACGTATAGCTCTGCTGGACACTGTGACAATGTGGTTTAGTTATTACCTCTTAGAAATATTGCTGCTTGGCTCATGGACTGTCACTGCCTGTCTTCTCCTTCTGCCCTTGGACACCGTGTACCCGAGATAGTATGTTTGACCCTGGCGTAGGAAGAGAGACAAAGGTAGCAGAGGGAGCCTAAGCAGAAAGGTCGACAGTAAATGGGAGCTCATGTTCCCTGCAGTGTTTAACTGAGAGAGGAGAACTAGGGAATGAAGAGGCAGAAATAGAGGAAACAAGCCTTTTACAGAGGAAACAATGGGGAGATGAGGTGTTTGTTTCCATTGCTTTATAGAAGTGCACATTTTAGGAGCTCACATTTGGAAGCATAGAGCAGCGAGAAGAAACAGAGATTGGAGGCTGTTGAGCTTGAGGTGAATTGTAGGCTGTGTGGGAGCTTCGATGGTTCTAGAATGGAAGGAGGAGAGTGGCAGCAGATGAGACCATCAGAGCGCAGCGTGGAGAAGCAGCTCCACATTAGGGGAAGGTGGGGTGGGAGTGGTAAATGAGGAGTTTGTGGTGACAGTGTCTGCAGTTTTGACCCACCACGTGGGGGAACGGCCTCTGCTTTGTGCTCACCTGCTCCATTTGAGTTTTGACATGTCCTTCTTTTCAGTTTTTGTGTCCCCTCCCCCGAATTTCACTTAAGACATTTTCACCTCTAACTCAAGCTCACCTTAAATTCAGATTTAAAATGTACATGTTTTAGTATAATTAAGGAGCTGGTGATTGCATATCAGTGTTTTGTAGTGAAGCCCTATTTTTCAGACAGAAAACATTTATTTTTATGATTAATATGTTATTAATATGGAGGCTTGTTTTTTCATATTACCATTAGTTCAATTATATTTTGTTACTTTATGATTCTGGTTTGGAAGATGCTGTTGGAGTTGATGAGAAATGCTGCTTTTGTGTGATATTCCCAAGGTAATAGACATGGTTTGAAGGTGCCTTTATAAACACTCGTGGGGTCTCCTAATCGTCATCACCCTGTTTAAAAATAAAAACCCTTAGACTCCCAAGTTGCCCCAAGGCTGCATTCCAGGCACTGGCCAGGCTTCCAGGGCAACCCCATCCTCCCTGCTCTTGTGCTGTCTCTTGTTTCAGGAGCTCTGTTTCTTATAACTTCTTGTCTTGCCTTTACCAATCCTGGGCTTTCTCCTTTCTGGATAGCACACCCCAGTTGGCCTTGATGCTTAACAATGGTAAATTCTTTTCCTTTCTCTCTGATTCTACCCTTTGTCTAGTGGCATAGCACATTGTCATTGCTTCACCATTTAACCTCATTAGCCAGCCTATAATGCCATAGTGAAACAAAACTTTACTCTGTCTTACTCACTTGAGAACTCCTCCAAGACTTTCATTTCCATTGTTCTCATTTTGCTGAGCTTTAATGATAAAATACTTACTCATTTATTGTCTCTGCGAACTTACAGAGTACTCCCCACCTTGTTTGTGTTACCTCTATCATTTTAAAGTAAATCAATTAAGACTATCACTTTAGATTCATTTCTAAGAAATGTATTCAAAGTTTTTTTTTTTGTTTTTAGAAAACTGAGGGTCACATGTTTACCTATTTGGAGATTATTTTTAATCACCATCTTGAGTATTTAATGTGCTTTTTATTTTTAGAGTAAAAAATATTTATTTTAGTCATAGAAGAGTAGTAAAAATAACTCATGCTTTTCTGCTTGTATGGGCTTAGAAATAAAACACCACAGATGAACGTGAAGCCCTGTGTTTCCTTTTGCGCCTTTTGTGTCTTACAATATTGAGTGTTGGGCTAAGGATGATTGCCAAAAGTTCAACTAAATATGCAAAGACAAAGCAGTTTTCTTGATGTACTTGATACATGTGTAACTGCTTGGCTAGCATCTGTGTTCTCCAGATGATTAGAGATCACTTTTTGATGTGTTACTTCTATTCATTTTCCCTTAAACAGAGTGCAATAGAGTCTCTTTTTGGAGCATCATTAACTGGGATTGCATATTCATTGTTTGCTGGGCAGCCTCTAACAATTCTGGGGAGCACAGGTCCAGTCCTAGTGTTTGAAAAAATTTTATTTAAATTCTGTAGGTAAGTAGTAATTCTCATCCCCTCTATTTGTATACCTGTCAATTATGTGTTGTAGTATACTGTTTATGAACTGCAATATCTTTGTGTGCTTTTGTGTGGTTGTCCTACCAAGGCTCCCACTACCACTTCTCCTCAGTAATGTAGAAGTAAGGGAAAGTAAGATTGCCTATCAATGCTCATTTAGTGGATTTGAGTATTGATAAGCACATTTGGAGAGCAATAAAAATTCTTAGTGCTTGCAAAATTAAACCAGTAAGGGGTTTGAACTGTTTGTTAGGGGAAATGTAGCTCTTACATAGGATAGAGTGAAGTAGATCTTGAAAGCCCAAGGCTGGCTTTGCCAGGTGGTCTTGTGTAAAGAGGAAAGGGCTCAGAGCTATCAGAGTGCACAGTTAGTATCTTATAGCTAGGCTGTTCATGGCGTGGGCATGCTATAGCTAATAGACTTTGAATTCAGCATTAACAATACCATTCCCTGGATGGCATATGGGCAGTCAAGTATTTTAACCTGAAACAGCGGAGGTATCTGAATATTTGTTGTAATTCTATTGCCCTGATTCTTTGCTTATTGGCTAAGCTGGTTCTAATTTTGATATGGCGTGCTCCACTGACGAGCAGGGCTGAAATGACTTAGAGTATCTCTTATTTGAAATTAAAAGTAAGAAACTACTTTTTTGTAGGGATAGTGGTGGGTGAAGAAGGAATAGGAGTGGCAAGATGTTGGGGTGCTGAGTGTTTTCACCTTACACATGGATTCTTTGTCTTCAGAAAGCCAGGCGCAGTTGCTTTTAACCTGTCATTTGTTTGATATAACTGTTTGCTAATGTAAGGGCTAGTGGCTTTATGCCTTTATTGCCTAGCATAGATACTGTAAATCTTTAATATAATAACCAAGTCTCCAGTTGAAGCAGAAAAACACAGAGCTTCATTTAATCATTATTTTGGCCATTTGGTAATTGTTATTTTTAAAGGAATCCTGTGTTGCTTGTGTTCTTACTGCTTGTTACGAAAAACCTTAGGTGCAAATGCTATTCTGTATGTACATGGTGATCATGTTCCCATTTATACTTCTCAACAGAGATTATCACCTTTCCTACCTATCATTAAGAACCAGTATTGGTCTGTGGACTTCTTTCTTGTGCATTGTATTGGTTGCAACAGATGCAAGCAGCCTTGTGTGTTACATTACTCGGTTCACAGAAGAAGCTTTTGCCGCTCTCATTTGTATCATATTCATTTACGAAGCTTTGGAGAAACTCTTTCATTTAGGAGAAATATATGCATTTAATATGCACAACAATTTGGATGAACTGACCAGTTACACGTAAGTGCTTCTTATGTTAAAGTTAAGTTTCTTCCTTATGTTAAAATACCTTTTTTCTAAAATATCAGAGCATTTTTTTCTAACTTTTTTTTTGTTTGCTTGTTTGTTTTTCTGAGAGGCTGTTTTGAAATTTCTTCTGCCAGTGGAATTAATAAAAAACTCTTCATTTTAGCCTCAAGCAGACTTTTCAGAAAATGGCAAAAATCAGCCACACTCTTTACCAAAATATCACAAGAATGATTTCTAGACAACATACTAAAATTCTTCTCCTGAAACCTCTTTAGTCAGGCCCACAGTTCAAATGACCCTGAGTATCACTGACCCCGTGCGGGGGCTCCTACTAATATGGTCATTAAGCAGCACTTAAAGCATTCTACTGCTTTCCTAACTTAAAGTTCCAAAGTCCAAATTCCTCCAAACAAAAATGTGATCAGGCCTATCACAGCAGTACCGCAGTCCCTGGTACCGATTTCTGCCTTAGTTAGGGTTTTTATTGCTGTGAAGAGACACCATGACCATGACAACTCTTAAAAAGGAAAACATTTAATTGAGGTGGCTTGTAGTTTGAGAGATTTAGTCTGTTATCATCATGGTAAGAAGCATGATGGCATGCAGGCAGACGTGGTACTGGAGAAGGAACCGAGAGTTCTACATCTTGATCTGCAAGTAACGTGAACTGAACCGTGTTACTGGGCATAGCTTGAGCATATATGAGACCATGAAGCCCACTCCCACAGTGACACACTTCTTCCAACAAGGCCATACCTTCTCCAACAAAGCCGCACCTCTAAATAGTATCACTCCTTATGAGCTTATGGGGCTAATTATGTTCAAACTACCATAGTAGGCAAGCTCTATCACTGAGCATCTCTAGCCTTTTACATTTTTTTTTTAAAGACAAGATCTCACTATATATACCTGGCTGATCTTGAACTAGCTATGTAGACCTGATTGGCTTGAACTTTGCCATTAATTAATTTTTTGTTAATTTTTGAGAATTACCTGAGTACTGTATTAATATCATTTCTTCCCTACCTTTTCCCCTTGCAACTCTTTCCTTGTCCCTTGCCCTCTCAAAATCATATCTTTTAAAATTATTATTGTTTTACACACACACACACACACACACACACACACACACTGACATGCAGTTGGATTTTTCTTTGGACCACCAGCTCACAAATAATGACACTGAGACTTGTTGTTAATTATGAATAGCTTAGGTTTGCTCCTTACTAACTCTTATAACTTAACCCATTTATGTTAATCTACATTCTTCCATCTTGCCTGTTTTCTCTTCATATCTTCTTGCTTCTCCCACAACATTCTGAGATTCATCTCTTTCTCCCTCTTTGCTTGGAAGTCCCAACTTTACCTCTTGCTTAGCTCTTAGCCATTCAGCTCTTTATTAAACCAGCTACAGCTATGTATCTCCACACAGACACTTATGAATATATAAATACAACCTGCTGACCCCATTTTATATTGCTTGAATATGTTTGTTTTGGGGGCTGACCACTTTGACCTATCACAGTACTTGTCCCTGGAGAAGACTGATTTTCCCTCTCTTAGTAGCCATTGATTGTCTGTGGCTCTTATCTAGAGGTGGGGCCTTATGAGACTGCCCTATTCCCTAGTGGGATGTCTACCAATGTCATTGTGTTGGTTTTATTTAAGTAGCTACATTGTTAAGATTTCCTGAGTACAGCTTTGCTAGGGTATCTTGGTCCTCTGACTTTTATAGTCTTTCTACTCCCTCCTTTGCAGTATTCTCTGAGCCTTAGGTGTGCGGGTTGTGTTGTAGATGTGGGAATGAGTGCCCCACAGGTAGTTGTTCTTTGTATTCTCACCCATTGTGGCTTTTTGTGAGTCTCTGCTGCAAAAGCAAGCTTCTTTGATGAGGGGGGAAATTAACTGTGCACACAAGAATGGGTCTTTAGAATGTAGCTTGCAATTGTACTGGTTTAGCAAAGTGACAAATTCACCTTAGGGTCCACGACCTCATTAGCTGAAAGTTGTTTATAGTGCCAGACAAGAATTCCCTCCAACTCAGTGAGAAATGAAAATTTTAAGCTTTAAATAAAAGAATATTTGAAAAGTTATGTGTAGTGATTATAAAAAATTTCAGACATTGGGGCTGGGAAGATGGCTCACAGGTTAAGAGCACTGGCTGTTCTCCGAGAGGACTTGGGTTCAATTTCCATCACCCACATGGTAGCTTACAACTGTATGCAACTTCAGTTCCAAGGCATCTGATACCCTCACGAAGACATTCATGTATGCTAAATACTAAAGTACATAAAATAAACATTTTAAGAAAAGTTACAGATGCTAAATAAAAGTCCAGTATGTCTGAAATGCCCTCTTTGCTGTCCAGAAGTTACATGTGCTTCTGTGCCACTACAAGGAGAAATGTGACCATTAGGACACAAAAGCTGTGCTGCAAAGATGGTTGAATGGGTGGCCTTTGCTTGCTGCCAAAACTGACACCTGAATTCAATCTCTAGGACCCATATGGTGGAAGGAAAGAACCAATTCCTAAAATTGTCCTGTGACTGCTACAGAAGTGTGGTGCCATGCCCACATAATAAATAAATGTAAAAGCATTCAAAATATAAACAGAAATAAAAACATGAGAGAAGGCAATCCGGGTGTGGTGATGTTGGAAACCTAGTGCTTTGGTAAAGTCGAAGATCAGGAGCTCATCGTCAGCCTTGACTGCAGGCTGGGCTACAAGAGGCAAACACACCCCAAATAATCAACAGCAAAAGGCAAATAGGCCATCTTTTTTGGTCCTACGCCACAGATCCTTCTCTTCTGTCAACCCATTTTTATCTTCCTGTTACCTTCTTTGCAGTCTTAGCTTGATGAGCAAAGTAGGGAGGGGTCTGAAATAATGGACCCTGAGCTACTTGGAAGTGCTAGACACGTCGATGCCCAGTCCCTTGTGTAACATCCTCTTTATATCGTCTTTGCTTATAATGCAGGGTGTTTTGACATTTACAAGTTGGTAGTTTAGGTGGTTTTAAATATGGACTGAACTCTTTGATCTTAGGCATCTCATATTATGCTGGTGGTTTTATTTGTTGAAGAGTGAGTGTTACACCTAAGGATGTAGGTAGTGAGAGCCTATCATGCCAAGGCTCTGGGTTCATGTCTCGCACCACAAGGTAGACAAGGTTCAGGTTGTGGACTAGCCAAAGATGACCTTGAACTCCTTTTCCTTCTGACTTACCTCCAGGGTGGTGGGAGTGTAGTCTGTGCTACCACATGCTAAGAAGGTTAAGATCATGAAAAGTTAGCACATGCTAAGAAGGTTAAGATCATGAAAAGTAGGGCAGTGGTGCTGTGGAGGCCAAGAGGATAGGATGGAGAGGTGAACAGTCTTGCTGTAAACATGATGGTGTCTTTTTCTCCATCCCAATCATATCCAACTAGTGTAATTAAGTAAATGTGTCACTGTCAGTTATGTTAGTTCTACTAATGTCACCCAAAAGTTCCTTCCTTTGGCTGGTTGTTTCTGAAGCATTTTCACCTTCTCCCCTTGTGCTCTGTTCACCTTTTTTACCTCCTGTCCACACTGCTCCTGCTGCAGCTGCTCCCCCACATTGTATCTTTTTTTTTTAAAGACAGGGTCTTGCTTCATAGTTCCTGCTTGCCTGGAACACCCTGTAAAGCACCACCATGGCTTCAGACTTGGGGTGCCCTGCTTCTGCTTCCTGTTTTACTTTTTACTTTCCATGCTTGCTACATGGAACAAATTCTGAGATATTAAAAGTTACAGTCTTCCTGGTTTACAAGAGTTAGTTCCAGGACAGGCTCCAAAAGCTATAGAGAAACCCTGTCTTGGAAAGCAAAAAAAAAAAAAAAAAAAAAAAGTTACAGACTTGTGCAATTGATTTAGAAAAATGTAAACATTAAATGTAGGATTCTTAAAACCTATCTTGCTCTGATTTCTCAGATGTGTTTGTGCTGAGCCATCTGACCCTAGCAATGAAACTATAGAACTGTGGAAGAGGAAGAATGTGACGGCAGAGAGCATTGTTTGGGGAAACCTCACTGTATCTGTAAGTACATTAGGGATTGAGAGATATTTTAGATCCCTGGGAACCTGACTTTTATCACTCCCTGTTTCCTTCTGGGGTGGTTTCAAGCTGTAACTTGTACTGACCTAGGATTTTCAGCAGTCTTCCTGTCTTAACCTTCCCTGTGCTAGAATTCAAGATGTGAGCTTCCATGTCCAACTTTCTATTTGTGCTGAACTTTTCTTCTTGATAATGATATGTATATTGTTTTCAAAATACGTTCTGTAATTTTTTTAAATGGTCATGTTTTAATGTGCATCTATGTGGGTGTGTGCATGAGTGCAGGTACCTACAAAGGCCAGAAGGTGTCAGATTCCCAGAGCTGAAGTTTCTGGCAGCTGTGGGCACCCAATAAGGGTGGTGGAAACTACTATAATTAAGAGCAAATATGCTCTTAACCTCTGAACCATCTCTGCAGCCTCTTTTGTGTTTTTTTAAGTGATGTGTAAAGCCTTAGACCAGTGCTTCTCAAACTCCTCCTTTAATACAATTCCTTATGTTGTGTTGACCCTAACCATAAAATTATTTTATTGCTATTTCATAACTGTAATTTTGCTACTGTTATGAGTCATAATGTAAATATCTGATATGCAGAATATGATATGCATAACTAACCTAGATCCAGGGCCTCACACAGACAAGGCAAGTGCTTTACCATTGAGCTATAGCACCAGACCAGATGTTGTTTCGCTAGAAATTTAATGACAGTTTTGCTGCTCATGAAAGACCATGTTTCACTCCCAGGTGTCAAGTCAGAGCTGAATTAGTTGCCTTTAATTTTTCCTACTTTCTCTAGGGTGAGTGGTAAAGCCTCATTTATTCCAGGCTGCCATCTGAATATAAATAGCAGACTTGCCTTGAATTTCCAGACCTTCAGCCTCACATCGAGAGAGATAAGGATCACAGATACACAGATATGTGCCACTGTGCTCCTCTCCACTTTTAAGGCAGTGCTCTGTCCATGCTCCCTTAGCATCTATAAAGAGTGCAGTAGTGATTTTCTGTCTCCTGCTTTTAATTAAACCAGCTGTCAGGCAGTGCAGTTGTGGCCTCCAGGGATGCAGAGGAGACATTTCGGTTAACAGTCACTGTGAGTTTTTCTCTAAAGGGAACATGCAGTTGAAAGGAAGGGGAACCTTGGCAAAATCCTCCATTGTGGTGATTTTTAAAGGAATATCATAATCTTCTAATTCTGAGTAGAATATAAAATTGATGCCTTAGATTCCACCATATTCATGAATACTCTATTAGATACTTGAAAATCTCCATGTCCTTCCTCTCCTGTCCTCCCCTCCAGGAGTGTAAGACCTTCCATGGTATGTTTGTGGGGTCAGCCTGTGGTCCTCACGGGCCCTACGTTCCTGACGTGCTCTTCTGGTGTGTTGTCCTGTTCTTCACGACGTTCTTTCTGTCTTCATTCCTTAAACAGTTTAAGACCAAGCGTTATTTTCCTACCAAGGTAACTGGATTGAATTTTGGTAATATTTATGTTTTCTTTTCTTTTGATTTATTTCAAAGCAACAATTATTGATTAAAGTTATTCTTTTATGCTAAGTAGTTTAAAAGAAATTCCTTTTAGTAAAAAATATATCATCTGGGTGGTAGTGGTGCATGCTTTTAATCCCAGCATTAGGGAGGCAGATACAGTCAGAGCTCTGTGAGTTCAAGGCCAGTCTGGTGTATAGAGTTCTAAGATAGTCTGAACTGTTGCACAGAGAAAACCTGTCTCGAAAACAAAAAGCAAAACAAGACTCTACATATATTGCATATCTGGGCATAGAGAAGGAAGATCGTACTGTGAGAAAGTGGAGGGTAGCTGTGACTTTTTCTTATGCTTTCGGGATTAAATGGATAGGCATATGTAACATACTTTTAATATAAGTCTCATCCATACATTGGGGACATATTTTATGAGAAAGACATGAAGTATTTACAAAGTCCAGGAAGTAATTCTATGTTTATGTTAATGTAATCTCTACTGTAGGTACGATCAACAATCAGCGACTTTGCTGTATTTCTCACAATAGTAATAATGGTTGCAATTGACTACCTTGTAGGAATTCCATCTCCTAAACTTCATGTCCCTGAAAAGTTTGAGGTAAGTATTAAAGCAAGTGGCTATTTGTTTTTGGAAATGCCAAACTACTTAGTGAGGAAAGGACTTGAGGCCAGGACATTGTTCTTATTAGGCAAGAGCTCTTGTGAACTGCAGTCAATTTACCTTTTACATTGACAAATATTAATTTAAGTTTTAGTAACTCCTGTCCTCCAAGCACTAGAGTGATTGCTCTAAAAATCAGTTTCATGTTACATCATTGAAATGTGTTTGATCTGATAAGGGGCCAGATTTTTGTCTGTAGTTGTTCTGTGCCAATTCTGACTCAGTACCATAACCTCCCCATAACCACTAGTTTCAGGACTCTAACCCAAGGTACGTTAAGAATTGATACAAGAGAAATTTATTTCACTATATTTGTAATTACATAGTTCCAGGCCAATCTAAGCTACTTAGCAGCACCTTGTTTATTATCCATAATAAACAAATTCAAACAAAAAAACCCGAACCTCAAACTGCTAGTCTCTAAGCAGTAAGCCTCTGTTCATAACTCTTTGAAGGTTGGGTTTGCCCCAGTGGGATGTGGTCTAGTCAGTAGGTCCCATGCCTTTCATGTGTCTGATTGGCTGGTGGGGACAGTCTGGCTGAAGGGCTGAAACAGAGAATGGTGGTGTTTCCCTTCCCAGCTTCTGTTTGTGTCTTCCTCTCCAGGAAGCTTACTCAGAAGCACAGTCATCTCAGGACTTCCAGAGGGTCAAGGAAGCTTCAGGGTTTCTTGAAGTCCAGACTGTACATGTCACTTTGGCCTTACTTTGTGTATAAGTTACAAGATGATCTTGAGTTGATGGAGAGTTGGCAGGTTCCATAACAGGGCATGCTTGTAGACACAGGATGAAATTTCTGTCACTGTCTGCACAGAATTTACCACACATCCTAATTCAGCTTTTCTTCTATCCCTTGGCATTTCATGGAATAGAGGAATGAAACTTTTTTCTTTGTTCTTAAACTTTAATAGCCTACTGATCCAAGTAGGGGCTGGATCATAAGCCCTTTGGGAGATAACCCTTGGTGGACATTGCTAATTGCAGCCATTCCAGCTCTCCTCTGTACCATTCTCATCTTCATGGATCAACAGATTACAGCTGTAATCATCAACAGAAAAGAACACAAACTCAAGGTATTCTCAGAGGCTTCTTTGAGGGTATTTTCTTTAATAGCAAGAATACTTAAAAATACATTTGAAAACTAGTTTCTTCCTTCTTATAATTAATTTGGAACTTCAATATAAAGGAACAATCTAGATTTACTGGTGTTCATTTCTCTCTTCAGAAAGGAGCTGGCTATCACCTTGACTTGCTCATGGTTGGTGTCATGTTGGGAGTCTGCTCTATCATGGGCCTGCCGTGGTTTGTGGCTGCGACAGTGTTGTCTATAAGTCATGTGAACAGCTTAAAAGTCGAGTCGGAATGTTCTGCTCCAGGGGAACAACCCAAGTTTCTGGGGATTCGTGAGCAGAGGGTCACAGGGCTGATGATTTTTATCCTGATGGGCCTCTCTGTGTTCATGACTTCAGTGCTAAAGGTAAAAACCCTTTGTGGCGTGGTGGCAGGGTTAACATCCCGCTTAACATTTGTACGCAAATGTATGGAAATGAAACGTTGAAATATGTGTGGAATACATAAAATCAGCGCGCACACACGCACACCCCCCCATAATTTAAAATCCATTCACGTTTAGAAATACTGTTCGGCAACATTTTTCGTATGGTAAACATGTAGATTAATAATAATGCCCTGTAGATCTGTCAGTTACAGCCTGCAGTTGGAAGGCGTTAAGCAGCATGTGGTTAGAACATAGTACAGGAAGTAATCAGAAGCAATAGGAGAAAAATGCTTTGGTTTCTTTAAAGTACTCTTAAGTGAATTTGATGTTCTTTTCTTGATAAAGCACATGAAATAAAAGTAATAAACACTAAAAAATAAAAAAACAAGATTACCAATGAAACACATAAGAAATTCAGTTAAATACATTTTTATCACATCCTTATTTTACAGAATATAGTTATATTTTACAGAATATAGTCATTAAAAATAATTATGTAGTATAGTATCTAATTTGAAACTTTTTCTTTATCATGTAAAAGCCCAACTCCATATTTGTCTTTGTTATTTTGGTTATTTTTCTTGTAAAGAAAATGGCTGAATAAAAGCTGACACACTATAAACTAGAAGAGACTTAATGTATATTAGCTTTAAAAGGATGTTCTTCATTGATGAAATTCCATGGGCTTGTTTTATGTACTTACTAGCCAGTTTAAGTGCCGTGTGTCTGGACTGCTCTCAGTACCCTTCGACACGGGATAGCAATAAATAGGGTGTAGTGTTGTCTTCCTGCAGGGACTCCATAGTTTGCCCATGAAATGGGCAGTTGTGTAGTGCTGAGTGTGTTTTAAAGGAACTTGGAGACAAAAGAACTATTTTATGTAGTCTTCTGAAGGTGAGGGCCCATTGAAGCTTTTTGAAAGTTGCCCCTTAAGTCTTATTATAGTTTCCAAATTTCTAATGAATTAAATGCTGTATATAAATAGAAAAATTCAACTCGTACACGCAGAAAACTCTACAATAAAACTTAGTCTCTATTTTTTACTTTTCAAAAGTAACTCCTCAAAGACAATTTTTTTTCAACTTGGTGATTTAAATTCAAAAAAATTGTGTGTGTGTGTGTGTGTGAGAGAGAGAGAGACAGCACTCGTGTGTGCACAAATATGGGTACACGTGTGCAGTAGTGGGCCATGAAGGTCAGAGAATGGGTTCCAGAGACCACTCTCAGGTTGTCTGGCTTGAATAGCATAGCGAGGAGGTGAGCAGGTCTGCTTTTTGTCCCGCCTGGCTCCCGCACGACTAGCTTTACACCCAAAATAACAACACACAAACTGTATTCTTTTAAACACTGCCTGGCCTGTTAGTTCTAGCCTATTATCGGCTAATTCTCACATCTTGATTAACCCATTTCTAATAATCTGTGTAGCACCACGAGGTGATGGCTTACTGGGAAAGATTCAGCATGTCTGACCTGGCGGCTGGCTCCATCGCGTCTGGCTCACCTCCCTTCTTCCCAGCATTATGTTCGGTCTACTCTGCCTATCTAAATTCTGCCCTATCAAGCCAAGCAGTTTTCTTTATTAATTAACCAATGAAAGCAACAGATAGAAGTCATTCCCACATCAGAATAGCAAAAACTTTGACCAACGGAGCCCCTTGTTGACCCTCAACTATGTTAACTTGCTCTGGTAATATTTGGGCGTGGTGGCTTATGTCTGCAGTCTTAGCATTTGGACAAAAGTGAAGTGGGAAAGGGGCTATACAGAATTGTTGTAAGTTAGTGGATAGCTTGGGCTACATGCCTTTGACCTCCTTGTGTGCATCAAGACACGCGTGCTTGCATGCACATGTATATCCACGTGTGTGCACACGCACACACAGACAGGGAAGGCAGAGAGGAAAGTAAGTTAAATTATGTTGGTATCTATCATCATTGTAATCTTAAATATTGTTATAACTATAACTATATATTTTATTTATTTAGTTACATATTTTTATTTTTTGAGACAGGGTTTTTCTGTAGCATTGGTTCCTGTCCTAGAACTCGCTCTGTAGACTGGACTGGCCTTGAACTCAGAGATTTGCTTGTCTCTGACTCCTGAGTGCTAGAATTAAAGGCATGTGCCTCCACTGCCCAGCCAATATATTTTTTTGATATTTATTGAGCTCTACATTTTTCTCTGCTCCCCTCCCTGCCTCTCCCCTCCCCCAAGGTCCCCATTCTCCTAATTTACTCAGGAGATCTTGTCTTTTTCTACTTTCTACTTCCCATGTAGATTAGATCTACGTAAGTTTCTCTTAGTGTCCTCATTGTGGTCTAAATTCTCTGGGATTGTGGTTTGTAGGCTGCCCAGACAATATTTTTACACTTATGTTTATATTGATTCATTTTTCCTAGAACAGATATTTTCAGTCTGCTTCAAGGACTGTTGGAGTCCCTGGCATTCTGTCAGAATTCCACCAGGGCCTTCCATTCCAAGGGCTCCATCCTGCAAAAGACAGCACTTTCTGTGTATCTCATACAGAAGAGCTTATTGTAGCGAATTGCTGTAAACTAAACACAGTTGCAAGATGAATACTCCCTGTCTCTTGTTAAGCAACCGCTAAAGAGATTTACAGAAGTGTAAAGCAGTGCTAGTCCTGAATTTCACTTTGTTTTAGAAATTGTAGTCTTTCATAGAAATGTGTTCTGGGCGTGACTCAGTTTGTAAAGTACTCATTATACAGGTGTAAATGCTGAGTTCAGATCTCCAGCACCCATGGGTAAAGAGCCTGTCATCTTATCACCCCAGAAGTAAAGATACATAAATCCTCTGAGCTTATTGGTCAGCTAGTTTGCCTAATTGGTGAGCTCTCTAGATTTGGTAGGGGACCCTTTCTCCTTATTCTTGAGTGCACTCTCTTGATGAACAATCTGTAGATCAGTTGACTCTCTAATGTATAAACAATAAATATATGTTTTCTTCTTCTGTGTTGGAACGTTGGTCCAATCCTTATCAGAAAAGAATTTTCAATTCTGTCACCATAGTTACTCATTAATGTTTCTGTATACTTCTTATTGTAAAATTATTTAGTACAATGAGTTCTGATTGTAGTACTTTTATTTACAGTTTATCCCAATGCCAGTTCTATATGGTGTTTTCCTTTATATGGGAGTTTCATCACTGAAAGGAATCCAGGCAAGTATTTAATAATGACACTATTTAAAAATGGCAGAAGCTGTACTTGTGACTATTTTTTGTCTTGTTATATCAAATCGACATTTGCTGAGTAGATTATTGCTTACTGCATATTTTTACTCCAAAGAATGAGATGATAATTTACCTACTTTAAATCCAAGGGAACGTCATATATCTACCTGCTCAGGGAAGACTAGTTTAGTGAGGGGAGGGTCAAAGGTCAGAATGAAAAGACTTTACCCCAGGTGGAGAACACTTTCAGCATTGAGACAGAAAGGATATACAGACGTTTATGTCACAGTGAGGCCTAGCACATTCGCTGTGTTCTCTAATTCTTACGATGCTGACTGATGGAGGAAGAAGGAGCTCCTGTTACAAAGCAGGACGTGAAACTGGACTCAGGGACCAGTGCTTACCTGTGCTCTGTGCACACAGTCTGCTAAAATAGACTCAGGTGTGTACAGACCCGAGTTAAAATGTTTAGACTAGAAGAGAGCCCCATGGTGGCCACTTCTTCTCACAGAAACTGTGCCATCCACAGTCACTCATTGCTGTGAAAATAGCTGGCAGCACTTCCCAAAGCCAGCACTTAAAAAAAAAAAATTATGTCTCCCATGGTGAAGAAATGATACTGTCTCACTTGATTTTTATAGCCATTTTGTGGGGTGGGTAGGTTGATTTTACCTCTGATTTATAAATAAAGAAATTATGTTCAGAGGTATCCAATGTATGAATTGGTGATTTCTCTTCATAACCTTAGTGGTATTAAGCTTGAAGAAACCTCAGAAGACTGTTAGTATTTAATTGTGCATATTGAAAACAGTTCAAAGACATTCAGTATATTTGAAATTTGACCAAAGTAAAATATTTTGCCTGTTTCGTTTTGCTTTTTTGAGTCAGGGCTAGCCTCCTAGGCCGGTTTAAACAGTCGTCACCCATGGGGTAGGATTATAGGTATATACCACCAGCCCTGGCTGTCTTGATCTCCTCCCTCCCTCCCTCCCTCCCTCCCTCCCTCCCTCCCTCCCTCCCTCCCTCCCTCCTTCCCTCTTTCTATCTGAGATTGTTTCCTGAAACATTTTTCTGTATTATCAAAACACACCAAAGAACTTATAGTTTCATGTAGCACAAATACATAAAACCCTAAAAGTTGGAATTTCTTAAATAGCAAAAATGGTTTTTGTTGATAAACCTCTTCTTTTTGTTATTTTACATGTGTAGTTTTTTGACCGCATCAAACTATTTGGAATGCCTGCCAAGCACCAGCCAGACCTGATCTACCTCCGCTACGTTCCCCTGTGGAAGGTGCACGTGTTCACTGTGGTCCAGCTGACCTGCCTCATCCTGCTGTGGGTAATCAAAGCTTCTGCTGCTGCAGTCGTTTTCCCCATGATGGTAAATTTTCAGATTTATCTTGTTCCTAATTCATAATGTAATACTCGTTTTCATGGTAACATTTAAAAAATTTGTTACTGACCTTGCGGAAAGAAATACCTCCTTTAAATATCTTAAGTATTTTAAAATGTAGACGAACTGTTTCTATCAATAAACTAGTACTTTGCATTCTGGGTATTCTTCTCTTACTCTGCAGTCATTTATTTTTAATATCTTAGCCCTTGGGGTATAAGGCTCTATGTTGTAATTCTGTGTAACTTCAGAACTTAGGACATTTATAGAACAAATGTGATTGGCAGGTGCATAAAGCCAAGCAGCTATAAGATATCTTGGCTTTGAAACGGCATGCTGTAATGTCTTTCCTAGAAACTACATATCTGGAAGTGTAAAACTTAGGAAGTCTATAGAGGGTTTTAATAGGACACAGTCCATACAATTCATTAAATCACCATTTAGTATTTTTTTTGCATAAGAGCTATGCAAATAGGTATTGTTTGTCCTTTTCTGGGTACTATGTAAAAGGCAATTACTGACTTAGTTACAGAAAATGTTAAGAAATTCAACTGTTAGGACTAACTGAGCAATACTGCCTACCCGATCACAAACAAATCACATGCCAGTGAAGCTATTAAAGCAAGGTTACAGATTTGGAAATTAAATCCTATTAAAATGTCAAGCTAAAGAATCCTATGGATGGGCTAGAGAGATGGCTCAGAGGTTAAGAGCACTGATTGCTCTTCCAGAGGTCCTGAGTTCAATTCCCAGCAACCACATGGTGGCTCACAGCCGGCTATAATGAGATCTGGTGCCCTCTTCTGGCATGCAAGCATACATGAGAGGAATGTTGTATACATAATAAATAAATACATCTTAAAAAAAAAGAATCCTATGGACTTAAGGAAAGAGCATCATAATGACATTTCTAAGGCGTTGAGCACAGCTGTATACTTGAAGGAAGATGTATATCACATGGGCTTTGTTATCAAGGAAAAATAAATGCAGCAAAAATCAGGAGTGGACCAGGGTCTCCCAAGTCAAGAGTAGAAAGAAATGAGAGCCTAGAGTATTTGTGTAAGCTCAAGAAGAAAAGACTTGTAGCCACAAATGCACAAAAGACCCGAATGGACTTAAGTTCATCAGACATCTAGAATGCAACAGTTATTAAGTAATTTTCTGCAAAGGGCCAGGTGGTAAATATTTTAGGCTTTGTAGATCAGGAGAATATTATGTAGGTACTTGAATAATACAAGAGAGAAATACATGTTTATAGTTTCTTTGTAGTAAAATTAAAGAAATAGTACTTCTTTAAAATGCAGGACTGCTAATGAGAAAAATGCCATTGTCTTTTTCTGAGGGAACATTTCACTCAGGTCAGGTTCAAGGACAATACTGCATTTATTGGTGAGGTTAGGGGGTGCGACTTAGTGGTCTCGTCTAGAATGTGTAAAGACTGAATTTGCTTCTTAGCACTGAAAAGAAGATAAAGAAATCTCAGAATTATTCCAAAAGTTGTCTGTAAAAACCATTCTTAGTTCATGAGCTCTAGAAAAATGGCTGATGGCCTAGGTTTGACTTAGGATCAATGAGTTGTCACTTCCTGATTTATAGGAAGTGGATTATTGTTATACTTTATATGAATTTTCACAAGTAGCCCAAGGAAAAGGGTTCAGTAGCTGAGAGTACCAGGCTCAGTTTAATGAACAGTAAAGATCAGACAGTCTGAAGCCAAGAGAAAGCTGTAAGCTTTTCTCTGGAAACACTAGAAAGATCTCAGCACCAAAACCTGATGAAGTTGTGAAAGATCTATGGCATGTTCTTATCCAGATACTCTATGTATTAAACTGGATCAGCTGAAATGCTGGTACATATGCTCAGCATTATTTCTTAGCATCGTATATCATAATAAAGCAGATAACAATGCTTTACCATTAAAAGGAATTATCAGCATATTATAATTATATACCTTTCACCCCTCAAGTTAGAATCTAATGAAAAAAGAGTAAAGAACCATACGAGAATTAATAACCGTTGTATTTGAGTATCTGGATAAGAACATATCAGAAGTAGTAGATAATGTCTACCTCAATAGTGTTAATCATGGGAAATAAAATTGATTAGAAGTGACCCAACTTGAGAAAATGTTTAAGGGTAAGCTGAAATAAAAAGGATAATATTTTTTTAAGGAAAAAAGCTTTGCAGTAGTACTTGTGTCCATTTCTTACAGCTTTTTTGCAAAGTTTGACAAAACTTTGACTGTGTGACTTAAAACTATAAAAATTATTATTACAAATATTGGAGACTAAAAGTGTGAAATCGGGTTGTAGGCACAGGACCGTCTGTGAAATCTGCAGGGCGTTCTCTTCCTAGCTTCTTGCTGTGTTGCTTGCCCTGTAGCTGTTTAGCTACAATCTGAATTGTCCCCGTGCGTCTTCCTGTGACTCTGCACACGGCACGACCATTTTATAAGGGCCCCAGTCAAAGTGTTCTACATGTGCGTTTCGAGATGGAGGTGGAATCATTGTGAACCAGATAAATCATTAAAAATGTGGTTTGCAAAAGTGTTGTGCGTGTGGGTTACATGTGTAATTGTTATGTGCATCAGACAGTTTCCTGCTCGGTTATATGTAAATTATATTCTTGTTAAAAATCAAGACTTATAAGTTACAGAAAATAAGAAATCAGTTAAGCATAATTCGGAATGGAATCTTTCTGACTGCCTAACTTTTCTGTGTTACATCATGCTGTCTGGACAGCCAAGCTTGGAAACTTCTGTTAGGTCCATACAATGTGGAACTGGTATAGCACTGAGTGAGGAGACCAGAGACATAGACTAATGGGGTCAGAGGTTTGTTGTTATATAGAACTGTATTGGTACTGGAATACCATGGACAGATTATTTTATTAAAAATGGTCATTTCCTTCATCAGAAAGTTTAATATATAGTGTTGAGAGAATTATCTAAATACTAACATCTTAATAAAGAAGAAATCCTAAGTGAACTCAAAATTTAAGAGGTAAATGAAGTTGTAGTAGAAAACTTAGGATTTTATATACATATGTGTGTATACATATAAATGTATATAAATACATACATTCACACACATATACATAAACACATACATATATGTCTATCCCAGTGGCTAGAGAGACTTTTTAATGAAAATGGGAAAACTTAGAGGTAAAAGAAGGGTAAATATATTTAACCGTGTGAAGTATTTTTATGTGATAGGCAGCATTTAAACAGAGTAGAGCTGTAGAGCTGTGAACCAGGAGAAAGTATTTGTAACACAAAGTAGATGAAAGGTTTCTACTACACTAAACAGTGCACTAACAAGTTAAAAGCTACTTTTAAGGTAAAGGGAAAAGAAGTAAAAGATAAACTTAGCAGCAGCAGTAATAGAAAGCCAGTTGGCTCTGCAAACATACAAGCTTCCAGCAGCTGTCATAGGATAGTGAGTTCACATCCACCCTTTCCTCTCAACTCAGTGAATGACAGCGTTCAGGCCTGGGGCAGCTATTCTAAGGCCTTACCTAAGGGTTGCAGCGTTGTTTTATGGTAGGTATTTACATCATGAAAATCTTTATTGAAGGGGGCAGAATGGCTTTTTGATTTTATTCCTAGGTGTGAGTATACAATGGGAAGATACAAATAAATAACTCGGTTCCGTTCCAGTAAGTGTTAAATAACATTTAAGCAAAATGAACATAGCATTTCCTGTTATGTATAAGCTTTAGCAATCACTTGCTTTTCTCTGTCAGTGTATGTACTATGTTTCTGTCTCTCCCATCTTCTTTAGGTTCTTGCACTAGTCTTTGTGCGTAAGCTCATGGATCTGTGTTTCACAAAGAGAGAACTCAGTTGGCTTGATGATCTCATGCCGGAAAGTAAGAAAAAGAAAGAAGATGACAAAAAGAAAAAAGAGAAAGAGGTAAGAAGACACCTTTTAGTGTTTGCAGTGTTACCAGATCCTGTTACCGTCGCTGTCACTGCATTTTAACCCTCAGAGAGGCTGGGAAGCACAGATACTCCATCCTGCTGTGCTGAGATGAGGCGCAGAGCTGGGTGATGTCACTCAAATACTGCTTCCCACTGATTTCCCAGTCTTGCTGCTGTTTAACTCTGACACAAGAATACTTTTAAAAAATTGGATATTCTGGCCGGGCAATGGTGGCACACACCTCAGGAGGCAGAGGCAGGCAGATCTCTGAGTTCCAGCCCAACCTGGTCTACAAAGTGAGTTCCACAAAAGTCAGGCCTGTTATACACTGAAATCCTGCCTTGAAAAACCAAAACAGGGAGGGATTGGGAGCATATTCTGTGAATTAAAAAATACAAGAATTAGAGTTTTTAATAGTACTAAAAATCACACAATAATGTCTGATTTAATCTTAAATACATTGGGTGTGTTAGTGTGTAGCACAGTTTACAGTATTTTAGTCGTCTGACGTAGTACACTAAATAAGTTTAAAGGTGTTGAAGACTATTAGGGGCTGGGGAGATGGTCCATTAAGTAAAAGCTGCACAGGCATGAGGACCTGAGTTCACAGCCCTTAGCATCCAATTAAAAAGCTGGGTGTGGCTGTGTGCAAATGTGATTGCCACCCTCTGGAGGCTAGAGAAGAAGGCTAGCTCCAGATGGAGCACACAGCTGTGTAACAGCAGTACATGAAGAATGATGGAGCAGGACACCCAGTGACCTCTGTTCTCTATAGGTCACACACAGACACACATGCAAGGGAATGAGCCTATAATCAGGCATAAGTCCCTTATATTTTTTACGCTTTTGGGCAGTGACTCATGGTGCTGCCTTTGAATTCAAGAATCCTCCCACCCTAGTCTCCAGAGTATCTGGAACTAAGGCGTACTACCATCCATGCCTAACTATATTTTTAGGTTTTTGTTTTTCTTTAAAAATGCATTTATTTATTGTTTTGTGTATATGTTCATGCTCAGGATATGTAGTTGGAGGCCTGTGTGCCACAGCACATATTTGGAGATGAGAGCACAATTTTCAGGAGTTGGTCTTATTGACTTTTATGTGGGTTATAGGGTCAACTCAAATTGCCAAGCTTGTACAGCAGGTACCTTTTCCTGGTTTTTAATTCTAATATTCAGTAGTCTGTACCATCGTTAGTTAATCTGTACAGTGATATTTAAAAAAGAAATACTTTATTCTGGATTTGGTGTTTTTTAATTATGTTTGTGCTTTTACTGACTAGGAAGTAGAAACTAAATATGGTCTTGTTGGTTGCAATACTTTCCTCAGTATTCCTGTCTTAGTTACTGTTGCTGTGAGGAAACACCGTGACCAAAAGCAACTTGAAGAGGAAAGAGTTTATTTTATTCACAGTTCATTATCAGAAGCAGGGAGAGCAGGAACTGATGCAGAGGTCGTGGAGGAGTGCTGTTTAAACTACCTTGCTTCCCTTGGCTTGTTCAGCCTGCTTTCTTGTAGAACTCAGGACCACCTGCCCAGGGGTGGCACCAGCCACAGTGGACTGTGCCTTCCTCCATCAATTGCTAATTAGGAAAATGCCCTACAGACTTGCCTACAGCTGGATTTTATGGAGGCATTTTCTCAGTTGAGCCCCCCCTCTGTGATGATTAACTTGTGTCTAATTAACATAAAACTAGTTGGCTAAAGAGAACAATTTCTATTCAGAATTTTGTTTGAAAATTAGGTGAGAGATTCAGTTATGTTTGTTTCTCGCTGAAGTGAGCATTGCTGTGTAGCTGATGCTAGCCCATTCTCCTTCAGCCATCCCTACTCCAAGTGCTTGGGATACATTTGTGCACCACCATATCTGGCTACTCATTTTTAAATGTCATAGTCTTACTTAAATATAAATTGGAAAGGGTATATTTCTTAGCCAGAATTATAACTATTGTAATTATTTGAATGAGGTTCTGATTTTTTTAATAGAAAGTTTTGTTTTCTTTAATATTGCATGCATAAACATGTAAACTTCTGGTGATTTTTCTTCATTTAGGGTACTATTTATTTGCAAAATACAAAAAATAAGCAGGTCATATTACTTGTTTTTTGCTTTAGTTAATCCAGAAACATATAAATTTAAAGAACAGATGTGAAAATGTGTTTTAAAAGTCCAGGAATCTATTTTCTATCACAGTAGAAAAGAAGCAATGGGAAGAGAACACAAGGCAAAATGAACATTATTCTGTTTTCAAGAGTCTTTCTAAAACTGTCATTCAGTAAGTTGCTTATGCAGTGTCTTCCCCACTGAGTTGCAAAGAATGCTGGGAAATTAGTGTAGCAGTTTTAAATCAGGGTGCATTCTAAATTGTGTCAATTGTAAATGGTAGGATTTTTGATAATGGGGAGCTGAGATGAGCTTGATGCTCTTTCTATACTTCTTTGCGTCTTCCTCCATTATTAAGGGGTCATTTTTATCCATGTTTATGTTGTTGTTCAGGTGGTTTTCAACCCAGGATGATGTCCTCTCCAAGGGACCTTTTCAGTGTCAGAGACACCTGGAGAGGCTGCTGCTAGCATAAGTTACATCTGGACTTGAAATGTTCTGTGTCCACAGATCTTCCACTAACACAGGGATGTAGACTGAGAAACTGTGCCTAATATAGATTAGCTTTTATTGTGCCCTGTGCTGAGACTTGAGACGTCAGTTTTCTCCCCTCGGCTATGTATAGCTAATATTCAGACTGAGGTCATACTGCTTTTCAGACAGCATTAATTAATCATTCTCAGAAATAGTGATTATATCTTGGGAAATAAATTTCTACCAATAGTTCTTATAATTTCATGCTATTATGTGTTTATATTGCCACAAGAAGTTTTCAGTTAAGACAGATACATTGTTTATATAATGCTGTCAGTTTCTTTAAGGTACTCTTAGTAACAGACCCTCCTGGGGATATTCTGGAGAAAGTAATCTCTTCATGTTTGTGCTCTAAAGGAAGCTGAACGGATGCTTCAGGATGATGGGGATACTGTGCATCTTCCATTCGAAAGAGGAAGTCTCCTACAAATTCCAGTTAAAACCCTAAAATATAGGTAAGATACAGCTTTGTTTTGTACAGTATATATATTTTTTCCCATGTGTCGGGTTACAAATGAAGCATATAATATGTCTTTGAAATAATGCTGAGTAAATGTTTCCCTAGGGAAAACACAGTGGCAGGTTGGAAGGTTTACCATTTTCAGCCTGGACATTTGGCTTATATGATGAAAGTCTAGTAACCATTCCAAGACTTAGCATTGACTTTGTCATGCAGTTCTGCAGTCTAAATGTATGTGGTTGGTAGCTTGAGCAGGATTTCACTAGGTAGCCCTAGTTGATCTAGAAATCCATGCATACCAGTTTGGCCTCCAGTTTACAGAAATCTGTCTCCAGAGTGCTGGCACTAAAGGTATGTGCCACCAAGCCCTGCTGCAGTCTTAAATATGACTTAAAGTATGAACAGAGGTGGATTTTTTTTAAAGCAACTGGTATCAATCACTTATAATATAGCTGCTATTACACTGTTATTTTAATATTGTCTAATTTCTTCTTTTTGTAGTGTCTGGTATTGAACCTAGGACCCTGCATGCTTGGCAAACCATCTCCCACTGAGCTACTTCCCCAACTTTTTTTTTTTTTAAATAGGGTTACTATTGCAATGATCAAACATGATAACCAAAGGCAACTTGAAGAGGGAAGGATTTATTTTGCTTCCTTTTCCATATTACTGTTCAAAGCTGTCAGGGCAGGAAACTGAAGGCAGGAGCTGATGCAGAGGCCTTGGAGGGTTTTGACTTATCGGTTTGCTCTCCTCATAATTTATTCAGTATGCTTTCTTAGAGTACCCAAGACCTCCGTTCCAGGAATGGCACATTTTAGAATAGGGTCCTTCCCAGTCACTCACTAATTAAGAAGATGCCTAAAGGCTTGACTACAGCCGGTTTTATGGAGGTATTGTCTCTATTGAGGGTTTTTGCTCTCTAATGACTCTAGCTTTGTCAAATTGGCATAAACAAGCCTGCACACCAATTTTTATAGTTCATTCTGAAGATAGGATCTTACTAAGTTGCCAGCTACCCTTAGACTTACTATGGTATACTGCTCAGCCTCTGCCTCCTGGTAGCTTGCATTACCCACCTCAGTCATGTAATCCAGTATGACATTTGTGTTTGTAGCTTGTTTGCATGAATTGTTTTTCTTTTGGTTAAAAAAAAAGACTAATAAATGTATTTCAGTTTTATCTATGGAATGTCATATTACTTGTGACCAATGACAATGAATGCATGTTATTTGTGGATGTAATCATTGGATTAGGGGTCTAAAGTCATTTTGCAGTATTTTGTAGAAATGTTACATTTGACTTTTATAGTAAATAGGCAGTATTACTATTCTTTGATTTTGATATACCCGATGAAATAGCACTTTGACACCAAGACTATGAGACTATCTAGCTAAACAGTGGTGGAGTCATTTTTGTGCCATCTGCTATGTTCAGAGCTTCATTGTCAGTTGTGCTTTTATTCCAGCATAAAAAAGATTTGCAAAACAAAAACAAAAGGCTTTTAGTTGTTGTTGTTGTTATATACTGTAGTTTTTTTAATTGGTGAGAGTGTGGGTTATAAGTGTTTTGACTAAATCTGTGCAGTTTTAGGCTTGTAGACACAGTAATTGGTTTTTATGTTATCTCAATGATCACAAGGTATCGTGGCTGGAATACTGATGAAGAACTATCTAAATTGAAAATGAAATGGGTTTTGCTAACATAATCAGTCCTGCTTAGTTTCAATGGTAAAAGAACTTGGAGTTCTCTGTGAAGACTTGATAGCAGAATTCCAGTTTGTAATACTTTGTTAGATCATAGGTTTAAGTGCATGCCAAATGTTTTCTCAATTTTAAATTGATGAAAACAAGAAATTTTATGATGCTAATAAAAATGACAACATTAATGCTTTTTGCAAGTACTGGATACTAACCACAAAGTGTATTTGTTCTTCAGTATTGACCCTTCAGTTGTTAACATATCAGATGAAATGGCCAAAACTGCCCAGTGGAAGGCACTTTCCATGAATACTGAGAATGCCAAAGTAACCAGACCTAACACGAGGTAGTTACAACTGTTTATGGCTTTGTAACTGTTGCTAGTGTCCACTCATATTAATTTACCTAATGTATCTAAATATATTCTCCTTACCGGACAAAACCAATCCTCTCCCCATTTCTTTCTATCTGTTCTTCTACTTTAATTATGGTCTGATGCGGGTTATAATTGTTTTTTTCCTCATGATTATGATTTGTAATTCTTAAATTTACAATTGTGTATTTCAGAAAAGAATTTTTTACCATTTTGTAGTAAAAATAAATTCTACAAAGCAGTGCATATATATTTTTGTGAATATAGTTATATTCACAAATTGGATATATATTCATAATTAAAGGTTTAATGGAGTGTAATTATATTCAAATGAAAATAAAAAATATATATAAAGAAAGATAATTACTAAGAATTAAATTAATGTTTCTGGACATAGTGGCTCACACCTAAATTTTCAGTCCTCAAGAGGCAAAGGTAGGAGGAGGGACCCTTGTGGTTTTTTTTTTGTTGTTATTGTTGTTTGTTTGTTTGGTTAGTTGGGTTTTCAAAACAGGAGTTCTCTGTGTAATAGCTCTAGCTGTCCTGGAACTAGCTCTTGCAGACCAGGCTGGACTTGAACTCACAGAGATCCACCTGCCTCCACCTCCCCAAGTGCTGGTATTAAAGGTGTGTGCCATCATGCCCAACTCTTTATCATATATTTTTTATCTTTTGTTTTCTTGAGTTCTAGTTCTGAGCTTCACTCTTCCTTCTTTCAGTTTCTGACTGTGATCTCTAGGGTTTTACAAATTTTTGAACTTCACACTGAGTGCCACCTTTTCACATTCTTCCTGCACCCTTGACTCAGTGTTTATGGTGTTATGGTGAAAATAAAGGCTATGTAGTAATATCAGTGTGTCTCTTTTATATTTAGCTTGTCATGTCTATTCAAAATCACATTAAAGACAACATCCTGGCTTTACTCATGCTAAAAAAAAGTGATGTGTTGGGGCTGGAGAGGTGGCTCAGTGGTTAAGAGCACTGCCTGCTCTTCCAAAGGTCCTGAGTTCAATTCCCAGCAACCACATGGTGGCTCACAACCATCTGTAATGAGGTCTGGTGCCCTCTTCTGGCCTGCAGACATATACACAAACAGAATATTGTATACATAATAAATAAATAAATAAATAAATATTTTTTTAAAATGTGATGTGTTGGGAACAAGAAAAGGCTCTAAGAGTTAGAACGGTGAATATCGTAAAATACATTATATTCATGTGTTAGATGCAGAAGAAGCAAGAGCAGACAGGTTGTAATAGCAAGGTGTAGGTTGGTGTTAGCTCAGACGTATAGTATAGGTATTCTTTGTTGACCATTTAAGAATTTAGGATCAATTCTTTTAAAAGTAATTTTCTCCTCATTGTTTGTTTTAAACAGCCCTGAAAAATCTGTGAGTGTGACAATAAATTTCGAAGATGAACCATCAAAAAAATACATGGATGCTGAGACTTCATTGTAAAGCAAACCAAAAGGAATATATAGAGATATATACCCGTCTGTCTGTATGTATGTATATATGTGTACATATATACACACACACACATTATATAAAATGCACATGTGTCGTGCCATTGTGTATTACAGTGCTGCTTGTCACGCTGTTTATGCGTGACTGGGTCTCTTTGAAGTAGCACCTGACGTTGTGAGCACCATGGAGACTGTATTAATGAAGCGAGGTACATGGTCTTTACTCTTCAGATAGTTATTTTTTGGTGGGGTAAAGCCTTTCTGTTCTGCAATAGAAAGATTTGGAAAACTGTATTCAATCTGCTTTTCTTAAATTTCTTTGTCAGTGGCAATCATATCAACCTTAAGTGATACATACTTAGTCTATATATTTATAATTTTTACCTGGATTTTGAGAGGTTATTGTCTCCCTTTTCGTAGTTTTTATAGGTAGAATCAGGAGTTTGCCCATGTTGTGGGAAATGGCATATCCTGGCTTCTCTCTGAGCTTCCTTCACGTAGCTGTCCATCATACTTCACAGGGGATGAACATCCAGGTGATTATAAATTATTGGAGACTTTCAGGGTAGGAAATTGATATCTTAGGATTTATTTTTAAATTTTAAAATTTATCTGGGCTTCCATTCTGATGGACAAGTAAAAAACAAATTCTGTGTGACTTCTCATTTAACACCCACACCATTAACAGCATTTTGAGTTTTTTAAGAAGCTATAAAGTGCCCATTTGCAATAGTTAAATTTTGTTACCTTTGTAGTAAGGCTTTTCCAATACTTATACTTTTCTAGAAACCCAGAGTCCCACTGTTCTTGTCTTTGCTGTCTTTTACTTAAAGTGGTCTTGTATGTGTCAGGTTCAGATGTCTTCTGTTGTAAGTAGTAATAAAGAGTCTGCCCCCTTCTCTGGGCTTGTCATCAGTGCTCCTTTATAAGAATACCTTTCATTATCTGTTGTTATTCTTTCTATTGTATGCAATGTATTTAATAAGTTTTTACCCACAATATCATTTTTAAATATTTTATTTATTTTAACTGATATGATACTTAAATATTATATAAATATTTGAGACAGTAACAACTATAGAGTAAATTGTTCCTGGTGTAGCTATTTGGTGCTCACTTGCATTTCTGTTTATTACCTGAAATCAGTGACAAACTTACATCTTTGATATAAAGCACTGCCATATTTACATTTTAAAAGGAAGTTGAATATTTTCTCTGCAGCTCAGATTAGTGACATCGTTCCTGTCCTGTGATAGCATTGAGGTTCCAGTATTTCTGAGCTGTCTTTTAAACATATAGCAAATTGTCATCTTTTATATACTCTTAGCTCCCCACAGAATAAATAAGTGCTGTTTTCAGGCTGTGGACGAAATGATTGGGGCTGTGAGAATGCTATGACCAGAGAATAGATAATACACAGAAATCGCGAGAAGCCCCGGCAACATTGATGTGATGGGGCATTAAAGTTAGAGCGAATGTTTAAGGAAATTCTCATGTTCCTTAGTCATTTCAAACTAAAGTACAAAAGTGTGATTAGTCTTTAGATCAAAGGAATAGAATTGCCCAAAGCAGGTATTTCTAGCAAGTTTGAAGTGGTTTTAGTTCATTCTAAACTATGTACCAATTAGTGTAATTCCCTCCCTTGAGAGCAAATACTGGATTCTAGATAAAATAGTAGTTGGCACCATCTGGTACTATCTGAGGAGTTCTGTCGGACTCCCTTAACCTATGATGGGGAGTATTGCCATGGTGCTGTGGTCACTGATGACCTCCACTGAAGTGATTCTCTGCATTCAGCAGCGTAGTGATTTCCAAAGTCCCCATTTGCTGCTATTATAACCCTCTGATGCGCCCAGACAAGAGAATTTCCTCATATCGTTTCCTTGTGTCTGGACATCAAAGGGTTAACATTTTGCAGGAAGTGATTTTAAAATTTAAACTGAAAACTACCTGGTATCAGAATCTTCCTGTGGATTATATACATATAATCCAGTGCCAGGAAAAAACAAACAAAACAAAAACCATGACTTACAAAATACTTTGCATCTAAGATGTTTCACTGTGGTTTTGGTTGTTAATGGCTTCTCCTTTCTTTTGACTACTTGACTTACAGTGATCTGATACGACTACTCCTCTGAAGAGCAGAGGGAATCGACTGCTTCTTTCAGATGGTTACGTTTTTGTGCTATTTTTGAAAATAACAATCATGAATAACACTCATTGCAAGACAGCAAGAGAGATAATTTGCTATATATACATATATATATATTGATTTTTAAATGCTGCCTTAAATAGGTGTATATGAGCAGTAGTAATTGCTATGTACTGATTTACCTCAAGGTGCAAAATAATTAAACTTGTAAATACCCATTTACAAAATCAATTCAGAGAAAAGCCCTGCACTTTCTTAGATGCCTTGATTTTCAGAGTAGAGCTTAGAGCTACTGAACACCACGGCCGTGGAGCCGCCTCAGGATTCTCTTCCCTCCACTATATTTTATTTATTTATAGATGTGTGTTTACAGAGACTATAATAAATCCTGGTGTTAACTATCTGAAATTTACTTCCTTTTTATTGCTGTTTCAACCTAAAGTAGGAGCTTTTGAGAAAACAGTAAGTTAGCTTCCTGATGGTAAAGGGGTGATTCTGTATCTATTTTTAATAATCTTAGATATGCAAAAGTGAAGTACAAGGTCTTTAAGACATTGTGAGTGTTCGTGTATGTGTGTGAAATCACGCTTAAATCTCTTAGCTTTTTAAGCTTGTGGCGTACCAATGTTCAGATTTGCCAAGCTTTCTCTAAGACATATAGGATGAAGTGTTTTTGTGTGCTAATGCATGTATTTATTACGATTTGTTTCCTGCTGAGAATCACTAACTCTTGTTTCTCCATTCCCCAAAGTGTTTGTTTCTTCCACACACTGAAAGTTGTGGCTTGAGTATACGGTTTCTGGCTTTCCTTTCACAAAGGCAGGTTCAAAATTCTGCAGAAAGAACAGTCACCGACATGAGGTGTCCCACTGAGTTCCTGTTGAGGTTTCATGAGTGTGCACCGCTCAGCAGTTCAGAATCTGCATCCTGACAAAGTGCTCAGAGTGGGATACGTGAGCCAGCAATCAGCAACGTGATTCAAATGTGTTTACATGAAGTCAGTTACATGTCTGAGATTGATTCACGTAGGCTTTATCATTGTTATCATTTGTACTGCAGAGAAGTGAATCGTCTTCATTTAGTCAAACAGTTACTTATTTTTAGAAAGTAAATGCATTCAAGTTTTCATATAGTGTTCCAGTCACAAGATTTGATTGTTTTCACTGTAAGGTCCTTTTTAACTTTCCGAAAAGTAAATTGTCAAATAAAATCATGTAAAGATTATTTTAAAATTGTACATGTACTTAGACTTCAAGCCCCAATTCTATGGTTTTTAATTATATGTTTTGCACATTGATTGTTTCTGTGTAGCTTTCTTTTGTTCCTTTGTTTATTCAAAAATTTTGGCTTTGTAAGGGTAATGTGTCTTACAGTGTTTACTATGTTAGGTTTAAATTAAAATTCAGATTTATTGTCCATTTATATAATATTTGATACCTTGGTGTGATTTCCCAATACAGTTACAATGTTTATGGTGTTTATAATTGCAATGGTATTTTCTTTTGTAATAAAAAATCCAAAGTCAATTAAACAAATTGTAGATCTGATATTTTTCATTTATGTGAAGTACAAGTCTACCTGAGTCTATAATGTGAGCCATCCTGCCTTTCACATTTGTTTCCTAATTTTTAGAGAAAACTATTTTTTGTAGATGTTATTGAAAGTTGAAAGAGCAATAAAAGTCTGCATAGCAAGTTGTTGGCTGCTGTTTTTACTGTTATTAGAAGAAGCTACAGGTCTTTCTCTGCTTACGCTGGGAACAGGGAGGAAGGGAAAGGAGTGGCTTCTGCTTCCTGCTTCCCAGTCCTTCATATAGAAGAGAAAGACAAAAGAAGAGAAGAAGGAGAAATAACATGTTTTTATGATGACATTTTTATAGTTAGGAAATGTTGAAGGTAATTTCTTTCAAAAACTGGTCCAGTTTTTCCTTCAGTTTCAAACCTAGAAACTTGTACTGTGTGCTGTGTTATCATTGCCCTGATAACACTGACCTTTCTGCTCAAGGCCTGTTCTCTTTTGGCTAATTATGTTTTGATTTGGATTGTTTTCCCGATGTAACACTTTGCTCCTGTTTTCCATGCAGAGAGCCTTGAGCCATCTTGTAAATTTGTTAAGCCATGGGAGTGAGATGAAGACACATGTCTATAGCTTTGGAGCATTCTGTTAGAGTTATACTTTACACTTACCATACAGGCCTGTTGTTACCGCTGTTTACCAGGAAGGCGTTCCTCTCTCAGGCTGTTTAAGTGGTGTTGCTGCTACCTGCTCTGAGCTTGAGCTTGCTCTCCTCATGGTGGGCCTGCTTTTCCTGTGCTTGCAACGGAGATGTTTCCTGTGTTTGCAAAATGTTTTCTGCTTTTGCTTTTCTTTCAAAGCCCATCTAAAGGTCTACAACGACATTAGGATCAGTGTAATCTCTGTTATCCCCCCCTTCCCGTGTGTGTTTGTGTGTGTGAGAGAGAGACAGAGACAGATAGACCTTTTATTTATTTATTTATTTTTATTTGTTTATTTATTTATTTATTTATTTTTGGTTTTTCGAGACAGGGTTAATAGGCCACGGATCTTGAAAGGGCATTCAAACATTTGATATTGGGACACTGTTATCTACCAAGTACATATTTGAGGACCATACAATCAAGTATCAAGTTACCCCGCCCCACCAAAACATGCCCGAAATTTTATTTTCATAATGTAAGTTTACTGTTTTGTATTGGACTGTACTGAATGTCAATTCTGCAGTGCTCATGGCCTCTGAGCCACAGGTTGGACACACCTGATATTTTTAGAAAGTTTATAATGCAGTTTTGTCTTGAATTGATCCTAAATATCTTGGTGTAGGTTTCGTTTCCCTTTATTTTCTTTTAGTTTTATTTTTTTAGTGTGTGTGTATGTGTGCAAGTGCCCACCGAGACCAGAAGAGAGAGTGTCAGATGCCCCAGAGCTTTCTTGCAGGCGGTTGTAAACTGATGTCCATGTTGGGAACTGAACTCCTATCCCCTGCAGGAGGAGCAAGTGTTCTTAACCACTGAGCCATCTCTCCAGTCTGGTTATTTTAGGCTATAATTAGGACTCAATATATTATACTTTATGTAGTTTAGGCATCATTTCAAGATAGTAAAGGAAAGAAATAAAAACAGAAAATGGGCAAGTGTCCTAAGATGGAGCTGCATAGCAGGGTGCACCAAACTGCTCCAGCTTGTCTCTTACGGAGTCATGGGTGCACATCACACATCCTGGGTCCTTACATTGGGGCCTTAGCCTCTGGGGGGGGGGGGTCACAGGTGCATATTTTACACAGTTTGGGCTGCACCCTTCCATGTTTGGAGATACTCACCTGTCTTCCAGAGCCAGAGTGCCATGCTGTCTTTGATGGAACAAACATTCATGAATCGTCAGGGTCGTCAAAGTAGTAATTTCACACTTACCCTCTGGAGAGGTAGGAAGGTGGGAAGGAAGCACATTGGGAATCCCACTGAAGACAAGTCCGTCTTCAGCCAGTCACTTTGACTCCCTGTTTGGTAATTCCTTTACAGAACTGTTTTCTACTCCCCTTTACAGCCTTTTGTCTTGTCTTTGGTAGAATTAGCACTGAGGGTTTTACGCCTTCAACTTAGTGCTGTGTTTGCCTTAATCCCCACCTCCTCTCCCATGCTTTCAATTCCAGTTCAGAACTGTACTTTAAAGTTTTTATGTGTTGATTTTTGTTTTGATGTTTTTTGAGGCAGTGTCTCAGGGATCCTAGGCTGATTGCAAACTCCTGATCCTCTTTCTTCTATGTACTGAGTACTGAGTTGCCCAAACCCCAGTATTCCAAGACTTCAGTGGGTAGGTTCCCTATACCCGAGGGCACAGGCAATGCTGCAGCCTTGTGTCTTGATGCTACAGAGTCATTGTAGGTTCTGCCATTTCCCTGTCATTAGCTGTCAGGCAGCCCATGAAATGACTTGTGCTCACCAAAAAAATAAACCACTCCGTTTGGTACTTTTCAAAAGCTCTGGTTTGCCTTTTTACAGGCAATTTTACTGCAACTCGAATTTCTATTTCAAAAAATGCTTTGCAGACGCTCGAAAAAAGTTGTGTGACTTTGCAAAGCCACCCAATGACCTGGTGACAGGCGTCTGACAGAGTGCTCTTGCACCTGGGGAACGTGGTGCCCCAGCATTTTATGCTTGAGACTTGTGCTGTAGCATCTTTAAGTAATTTTGTGCACCGAAAAGATAGGTACCAAGCAGGCGACGTGACCCACAAATCAAGTTCCAGGTCCTTCTCAACCCCCAAACAAGAAGCCGAGCCTGTGCCCTGGTTCGTTTCCCCCTTTAATCTTTGAGAACTGATTTGCAGTCCGTGATAATTCTTGGAGCACCTGAGGTAAACCTTGTTTATTTTGGATTCCAAGCTCCTTCTGACCATAAGATACAGCACACCAAGTTTAGGTCCTCGCACCCTGAGCTTCACCGAGCGTTCTCTGGTTGCTAAGGTAGCAGGGTAGGCGTCATCCGTTGCTATGGCGCTACTCCCTACCTTGCAGCGTTGTCATTCCTGATTGGCTGAGCGCCCGGGGGCCGTGGAGGAAGAAGTGTGAGCATTGGTTTAGTCTCTCTGGGCCAGGAAAGGAATTGACTGAAAAACCAACAGGTGTCTGGGAGGGAGCTGGTTTGAGTTCGCCCGGCTTCTGCAGCAGGACGAGGAAGATGACTTGAGGTTGGCCTGAAGGAGGGCCGCCCTCCTGCGCGGTGAGTGGTGCGGACGTCCTTGTGCCTGGCAGGACAGTCTCCCTTCCCCTGAAGCCATCTGCAAGGACCTTCCCTTGGGGTCAGTCGGCCAGAGCGTGTCTCCTCAAAGTAGATAAGCTTGTGCTGAAGAGCGTGTTGGGAGATGCGTTCCGCGTTGCGCGGTGCTTCCAGGAGCAAAGGGCCTGGTGTGGGTAAACAGAGCTGGTATCCCTCAGCGCTCATGCCTCTGGAGGCTTAAGATCTCCTTTGTGAGTAGCACTCACTCCTGCCTTCCTTCTACAGGGTGGGCTCTGCTCACCTCCACCTCAGTACCTCCCCTTTGGTGGGAAGAAAGGCTTCACTGTCGCCTAGAAAGCTCCCCTCAGCCAGAGCCCAGCACCCAGCTGCAGTTGTGAGCTTCTCTCAATGCAACCCTATCCCCCAGACCCTACTACTTTTGGGCTCCTATGGGTGCCACCACTGTCTGCATTCCCACAACCACATCCTTGACACCACCTCATCCTCTATTTAAAAAAAAATCATCTCCACAAAGCTATCTCAGGTTCCACCAGTCTTTGATCGATTGATCTATCTATCTATCTATCTATCTATCTATCTATCTATCTATCTATCTATCTACCTATCTATCTGATTATAATATATATGTTCCAGCATTACTGATTGTGGTCCATCCTTATCCATCCAATCCACCTGCTCACCATTGTTAGACCGACTTATCTTTTATTTTTTTAAGTGCCAAGGAATAATTTCCCTTTTTCACTGGAAGCCCATCTCCCCTACGTCTCTATTTTCCAGTCCTTGGTTAGCCAACACCAACTCCATCTTAGCTACATCTGGCTGTCTCAACTGTTCCCACGGTGCCGAGAATGGACTGCCTCTCTAGGGCAGTTCATGCACTTCCCCGTCCTTGTCTCTGTGTTGCCTGATTGCTTTGCTGCCTACAAGTGTGAGAACACTGACTCGTTCGTGGTTCAGCATCCAGCTCAGACACCTAGCAAGTGCACTCGGTATGTGCTCGATAAAGAATGAATCTCATAAGAAGTTATCAGCTTCGCGGAACACTCACGACTTCTGGAAAAGTCAGAGCTATCCTCTGAAGTGAATGTTAGTTTAGGGATTTTGCTTTCATTGTAAAGGTCTGGAAGTTCTTAATTTATGCCCAATCTTATGCCATAATAATTTTGATGAAATCATATGGTGTGATTTAAGATTATTAGAGAGAGACAATACAGTATGGTTTGCAAGAGCTGAGATCCATGCAACTTAGCATTTTAACTCTCTGCCGCCTACCAAATCAGTGTCCCCTAAACTTTTTACCTGTGCACATGAGAATGGCACCTACCTCACTGAATTACTTTAAACCATTCCAATATTAAACGGATTCCAGGCTTAGTGACACACACATGCAGTTCCCATGCATTTGAAAGGAGTGAAAGCGACAGTTGTAAAATATCCACGATCAGTTCACAAAAGGATAAAATGACATGTTTGATGTAGCCGAGAGTAGTTTGCAGGATACCATCTCATGCGTGGTGTGTGGCCTCAGCTCCGATGCTAGAAGAGACTCTTTAACTTGGTGACTACTTACTGAAGAGTCCAGGGTCAGGCCCACGGATAGTCAAATAACATGCAACCAATAAAGGGTGTAAGAGATGGACCAAGAGTCCAAAATGTGACTCTGTCAGAACCAGCCAGGCCCTGAGGCTCAGGTCGGAGATGTAAGCGTGCAGAGCACCCTAGAAGCCCATTGAAACAGGCAGTGTTCCTAAGCACCAAAGTTTTAGGCTGTGAAAAAAAAAAAAAAGCCGAGACATTCTGCTGGCCCGAGAGCACCCACCTATAGTGCCAGCAAATACGAAGATGAGGAGACAGTAGGATCAGAAGTTTGAGCCAAGGTTGCGCATATCCGTTCCTTTTCTGGTTATCTGAACCATATGCCTGGCAGGAGGATCAGGGTT